CACAATGAACGATAAATTTAAAACTGTTAAAGATTTGTAAAAGTACTTAAAGGAATTTAAATGCTATACAAACCTAGTGAACATTTCATGAAGCCCAAAAATGGTGACTAGAAAGTAGCAGTATAGACAGGATGAAATAGTTTTACTAAACATTCCTCTTACTGTTTAATTCAAAACCACCTAAGCGCATAATTCCAAGTGGAGGTCTCAGAATTCAGCTGTAAAATTATCAAACTGCCATCGAGAAAATGAAAGGACGTAACGCCAATGAACCGGTTTAGTTGCAGATAAACCGCTGCAATCAAGAGGCACTGCTCCTCGCAACTGGTTGTGTGCAACTGTTGTCGGTACGTGGAATGAGGAAGAAATGCAACGGATAAGCAAAGAATTCATCAGTGTCCTTATTTAAGAGAAGGAAGGTAAAACACATTTCAGATATGTTTCTAGGTATTTCTGTTGCAAGTTTAGTGGACGTTTCTATCCAGTATTGCTTTTTTTTTTCTATGGCGCTACAGCCCCAATTTGGGCCTAGGCCTACCTCCATGAAACCCTCCGTTTCACTTCTGTTTACTAGATCTTACACATACGGTAGGACTCCTTGGGCGAGTGATCAGCTAGTCGCAAGGCCTCTACCTGTAGACAAACACAGAAAAACGCACACAAACATCCATGCCCTGAGTGGGATTCGAACCCACGATCCCGGCTTCCGAGCGAGCGAAGACAGTGCACGCCTTAGACCGCTCGGCTACCGTGACAGGCCCCAGTATTGCTTTAGCACTGATAATATCGATCGTGATCAAAATGAGCGACCATTTTCAATGAGGATTCCATTATAACAGAATGAATGACGACAGAATATTTTGTGTTTGAGGAAGAGGTTATGTGTCTGATATAAAGCAGAATAGTATTGGGCTGATATGAACCGAAAATCTCCCCCCCCCCGCATTATTTAACCTCACCTCATCCCCTCTGGCCCAGGAAATACGTGCATACCAACAGGCGGTCATGAGCTCGCGCGTGCCTCCTCTTTCTGAGGGTTACTCGGACAACTTTCTGAGCACATTCATGTGGCTTGCTGACAAATGGTACAACCCATGTGATTCTTTTGGATATGGTTAGTTTCTTGTCGCTTTCAGGTAACAACTTCATATTACTTCCGATTTCTTCATAAGGAAAGTTTACTACTTCCGGTTTCTTCATAAGGAAAGTTTACTGCTTCTGTGGCAAATTCTATACTTGAAGAGATATCCATACATTTATCAGATCTACGAAACACGAATGGAAGATAAGAGAAATGCATTTGGTGGGAAACACAGACGGAAGGAGACCACCAGGAAGACCTAGACGTAGGTGGAGGATAATATTACGATCAATCTTGGGCAAGTACATAGTATGGGGTGCTATGAACTGGATTCGTCTGGCTCAGGGTCAAGGGTACTTATAAATACGGTAATGAACTTTCGGATATCATAAATTTTTGGGAATATCTTTAGTATCTGAGAGAAGTAGAATTAAGTTCCATGGAGTAAGTGAGATTGTTTGTTTGTTTGTTTGTTTGTTCTTGTGTTAGTTTTACGGATTATTTCACAAATATATTTGTACTTTTGTTGAGAGGCTTTAACTACAGCATACGTGTTAGGCAATGGACCCAATTTTCCCTATGAGTAGTAAAATTTTTGGCCCGGGGCTTCCACAACTCTAAATTTGGCCCTCTACTTAGCTATTTATGGAATTCACTTTACATAATGTGAATCTCGCTAAGAACACCCTCCCAATGCTACGTTTTGTTGGAAGTACCATTTGTAGTGCAGAAATTAAGCCAGAGGACTGCGTGTGACTGGCAGTACAGGTCAGTGGTTGGTAGGACGAGGAAGTGTTGGATCTAAGGTCCTTAAGGTGGTGACTATGAAGAATACCGTCTTGTGAGTTGTAAATTATTTTAGTTCCGAAAGGGCCCCACGTTTCGGAGAAAATTTGGTTCTCCATCTTCATTACCGAAGCATAAGACGTCCAAGTTACTAAAAAAAAATTGGGCTCCTTCAAAAGTATACGGCGTTACGACCCAGAAACTAATACAGCACATAAGTAACGTTCTAATATAACAGACACAGAATTAACACTCTGCATAGCATTTTCTTGTCTTAATTTGCTCTCAACACTGGTATGTCAAAAAATGTCATTAGGCCTTTTCCCGTATACACCTCGTGCATCCCCAAACCACTGCGGCATAATACCAGTTACTTAATAATGAAAGTTGTATAATGAAAATGATGCATAGCAGGTAACAGTTCAAGGTTTAGAGAAGTCCTCCTCTGCTTCTGGCACGTATCTCCGAGTACCGGTAAGTGGATTGACCTACAAATGTTTCTCTGAAGGTTGCCTGACTGGTTGCCCCCTTCGAAAGTCAAGATATTAATGTAGCCTCAGGTCATCACGAAACGGTTTAGTCAACATTGTCAGAAGAGAGCGAAGAGAGCCTCTACTCACATAATTTTACGTCGCCACAGGAGCTTCTGAAGATTGTCGTTACAGCCATTTTGAGAACCAGTGGACATGGAGAGACGAAGAAACGATCGAAGTAGCATTACGAGGCCTCTCGACCGATTTTTGTCTTGTTTAAATGAGCTGTATCTATTTCAGAGAAGATATGAGGCATTTGAATGAGAAAGTGGACAACCTGGCTCAAACGGTAACGCTTCGGACTTCTATTTCACGATACCTGTTTCGAATCTCGACCGGAACGCGGGCTGTCCAGAGGATTTTTATGGGTTTCTCCGGTATCTGTAGACAAATTGCGCAACAGTACCTCAAATTAGGTCGTTACCGATTTCTTCCAAATTCTTCGTATTTCGCAAATTATCCCATTTTCCGACGCTATGTAACATGAGCTACTGAACATGTCGACAGGTAAACTATAGATAAATAAGAAAACAATAGCGAGAGACAAGACATTGCTTCCTGCTTTAAAATAGAGTCCTCTAGACGTGTTCAGCTATGATACCTACATGAGGAGTACATAGGTTCAGGTACAGTCTTTACTGCAGAACCAACTAAATTGACTAACAAAGAACCTTAGGTAATTTATTGATCCATGTCTTTTGGTAGAGGCGTATAGCGTTGAATACCACGGGGAAAATAGTCATGAATTGTGACTAAATAATGATTTGGTAGAACAGCTTCATTTTATATTCGCCGAGAGGTGTGAAGAATACCAGACCTATTGAATGTAATCTAATACATTTCAGTCTCTTGGTCTCCCAAGATTCGCTCTAAAAATGAGCGTACTCCGTGTCTTCGGTCAATTTCTTTATAACCACAGAATTTAAATCACCAATTTGGAACATACGTCTCATGTTAAGGGGGCTTCCATCCCAGATACTTAAATGTTTAAGATTTCACACACATGAATTATAATCCTCAGGATTACTAGGTTTTCGGACTTTGTCCATCATCCGGTATTCTGTTGCACCTGCTGTGCTGGTTCGCTCGCGGATTTCTTCTTGTCTTTTACCCTGAAGTTGGAGGCGATATGTTCCTCCGAAACGTCGGTTAACACAATTTATACACGGCCCCACATCCTAGAACACAGTTTTCTTCATAGTCACCGCCGTGTAAACCTCAAATCTTACACGAAAAACATAACTTTTCGGAAATTGGATCTGTTTCCTTCATGTGAGGGGGGAGACACCCTGTTAGGCCCTTCAGCAAGAGCTAACCTCAATCAAACCCAGTAATACTGAGTGCTATGATCCATCGACAGAAGCCTTTAGGATCTACATGAATTCTAATGTTTTCTTTTTGTAAAGTATACCTCCTGATGATGGTCTTGTAAGACCGAAATATGCCCCAGTCCCTGTCACACACAGTCTACTTGGGCGATGAATGCGATATACTTGCATTTGAATTTATACAGATAATATGTCGGGATATGACTACTATCGAATTGTCAGTTCTTACACATTTCGTAGGATCCACTGGATCAGAACCGCTGCCTACGCAGAACAACATACCATTCAAGAACCTCACACGCATATAGACAGTCCCAAAGATATATTCGAACACGTCATCTCAGAATTCTAGCGGCCCAAAATACCAATAATATTTCAGAGAACTAAGGGTTAAGAATGACAGCATGGGACGTGGAAATTGATATTCGGACGCTATGATAAATGAACTACATTCCTAAGTGATGTGTAGTTCCTCGATCAAACTACTATCAGGTGTCCGGGGTTCCATGACCAATAAGAATGGGTTGTTGATGGTGATTGGATTTATTGACACCTTCTTGTACAGTCTCTCTTAATCACAACCAATTACAGCAGTTCACAAGAAATGGCTGCCTAAGACTCGCTCCATTCTGCCTGGACTACGACTGTCTGCTGCTGTGACTGACGCGGCTCTGATCTAGGAATCACTCACTTCTGCTTCACCTGTCAATTCAGAATGACGAATGAATGCGTTCAGAGTTCAGATTTAGGGTTACTTTACAACTGACGGTTTACCGCAAATCAGTTCGCCTTAGCGACAGGACCCTTGAGACTCACGACCAGTATTTTTTTTCAACTTAACACTTGCAGTGATATTCCCTTCTAACATCCTCTCTGACGAGAAGATGTGTCTGTAGTTTACAATTGCTGCTGGGCCTCGCCAGCGTAGTCATTTTCAGGTCCGAGTCCAACTACTCGCAGGTCCTCGGTGGTGTTATCTGAGTCCGCCTGCATACGGGATTGAAGGCGTTTTTATTTGAATGGTCGCTTCTATAGTCTCTCGTATCCTAAGAAGTGTTCGTTGAATGTTCTTTTACATGGAAAACTTTGTGGTACCTGAGTTGGTCTCCGAGAATCCACTTCCATGGAAACGTGTTTTACATTGAGTTGTTTCCTAGAAACGGCCTCCATATCACACTATATTGATACCAATGCTGAAGGTAGTGGAAGTACGTCAAATGCTAGTTGAGATGGCGCTCTGCATGTATCTTATTTCTTTATTTCCTGTTATAGAGATATGTTCTCGTACCGACGCTGTGAGAGTTCGACGCGGCTGGACGGCAAGGTGGCCATCATCACTGGCGCCAACTGCGGCATCGGGAAGTTCACGGCACTCGACTTTGTGCGCCGAGGTGAGAAACTTGTCGTTTTAGAGTGGTTAGGAGTCCCATTTCGTATTTGGAAGGTGGCTCGGAGACCAGCTCTTTCCCATAAGATTTTCCTGGTTCTCCTCAGATGTTCCAGACATATTCTGGTATTGTATCTTAAGGCGCGTCCACATTACTCGTGCTCATGCGACTCGCTATGATCGCGAGTAATGTGGACGATATGACAAGTCACGAGACAAGCAAATTTAAAATCTTTAATTTAAAAACTATAGCCAATAAATTAAAATACGACTACAGCCTATACACACTACGAGTAAATATACCGATCCGCACGCGCCGAAGCCTGGCGAGCACGAGCACGAGTAATGAGGACGCGCCTTTAAAATATGTCCTGACCACTTCATTCCCAGTTCACGATTCATAAGATGAAACATTCGTCATTGGGGGGTGAGGCAAGGAAGATCCGAAGTTTAGGCATCAATATATTTGCTTTCAAATTAATTCAGAATTTCTTATTCTTGTTGTTGACAGTCCGGCCAGAAGTAGCTAACATCTATCGAGGTGAGGACCCATTTGATGTGCGGGGCCCCAAAATGTTCAGTTACCCGAAACCTAGGCACAAAACTAAAGCTCCGATAAATGTCTACCTACTGTTTCGATGCAGTAACTCAACTACTGATCAATTGCAAAGGAAGTTACATCCTCTTAAATTGAATTGTTCTCAGGTTTAATTGTACATTTTAGGGTTCTGAAATATTCACCTTCATTAATTTCAGTATTTATGCACTAAAGATCTGTAAGGAATGAGGAATTATAATTCGAGAAGCCGTATATTTCGAACTGAGTACAGGTTCCCATTCTTTTCTGCGCAAATGAGACTTGTTCCTCTTGCCTGCTCCCAACGGCAGGTGCTCGGGTCATCATCGCATGTCGGGACCTGAATAAGGCCGAAGAAGCTGCTAACCACATCCGACGTGACACAGAGGATGTGGAAGGAGCAGGTCACGTCGTAGTAGTGTCACTTGACCTGGCCTCGCTGGCCTCAGTACGGCAGTGCGCCCAGCACCTCCTGCGGACTGAGCGCGCCATTAACATTCTGGTCAACAATGCCGGTAAAGTAGTTATTTTCCTAATCATCTCGCCCTCCCTTTTCTATCATATCGTCGCTAAGCAACTGGCTCTTTCGGAGTTCCACGTCCCAGCTCTGTACTCTAGCATTTCCATAGGTTAAGTAACCGAATAAGTTGATGTAGAGGTAACACTCGAGATATATTAGGGAGGCNATATATACACACACAAGTAAGAATATTTTCATTAGATCAGCTTGCTGTATGTGTGTCTGTCTGAAAGTCTGAACTAACCTTTATGAAATTTGGTGTTTATATCATGACAATTAAGCCCTACTCAATGGCTTGCTTCATAAATCCCTCGCGCCAGTCTGTGTCTGTATGTATATCCCTTAACGTTGCCAAACAACGGCTCTGCAAACACGTTCCCGCGACAACAAATAATAGCGACAAGAGACGAATTGTTGCACGAGCAGTTTTCCACGCGATTCGTGTCATATCAAAGAGATTCTATGAGTCTGTGTATCATCTTATCGATGCTAGTCATCTGCTCGGTAAACATTTTCCCGCTGCAACGAAGAATTGTCGGGTGTGTCGTTTTCTGTGGGGCTAGTGTCGCCTGAGAGGAAAGTAGGCGAGGGATTATTTCTTCCTTTAACTTCTTGTCATGTTACGCCCATTTTCTGTTTCACGCTTACTGTTTATCGCGTTTAGTTTGCTCTAAAGTGTACCATCTCTCACAACTATCTTCAAAAATTAATTTCTACTAAATCCAAAGGATATTTCCTGGGGTTTCGAATTCATCCTACAAAATTTTGTAACTAATATAAGTTTATTTGCCTTACTGCATATATATATATATACACACATACATATTATAGATTAGATAGGTAGGTAGGCAGGCAGGTCCACAGACAGACAGGCAGACTTGGAAGTCAGAAGTGTAGCAAACTGGCAGAGAGAGCATGTGCAAAGTAACTGTTTTGTTTTAATCGTTTCTTGCATCCTGTTGTGTGTTTAATCAACAGTAGAGTGAATTTACCGACTACACAACACGTGTTGTGTAGTCGGTAAATTCTCTCTACTATTAACTGTTTTGTTCCCTGTAGTGGAATACACTTTTCTTCTCTCCTTCCATTAGAATTTACGAATATATTTCATCAAGTACTGAAATAACTTTGTCATATTCATTCCGCAGGTGTGTGTTACTCTCCCAAAGCCTACACGAAGAATGGCTTTGAGATGCACATCGGTGTGAACCATCTAGGTCACTTCCTGTTTACTTGTCTTCTGTTGCCCCGCATCATTCGCTCCGCTCCCGCTAGGATCGTCACTGTCTCCTCTTATAAGAACTGTTTAGGTGCGTATTCGCTAGCAGGATCTTCAATATCCTCAAATATTCATATATTCTAATTTGGTTTGACAATGGTGTGTTGCACTTGGGATTTCCTAGCATCTGGCCTTTTCCTATCGCCTAATTTTCCGCAAAGGGCAGAGCGTTTCTGAAACGTAACCACTTTCCGAAATGTTAGGTTCTTTTTTTTTCAATATTAAACGATTGTCAAAACCCAGAAACATAGTCATCTCAATTCATGTACTCTAACATCACTTTGTTCCTGTACATTCTTCATCTGTGTTTACATTCTGAAGGCCAGAGACAGAATGGCACCAATGTAATGAAACAGGTACCTGTATGATTATACCTGATATATCTCGATATATGGTCCGAACTGAATGGTGGCCAGAAGTCCCCGAAAATATTATGCGTTTTACTCGTATTTAATCGCGAATATCTCTCCATTTGTTTCGGTGGTTCCCCTGCACTTCCCTTACCGCACCTTCAAAATATCCTTCCGCTCAGATTAATATTTCCCTGAAGTCTGGTGACGAAATATAGACGTATGCATGCTTTCCCTTCTTTTATATTTAGACAGATATTCCTTGTTGATTCTAGTAGATTTCTACTTTACAGATCATTAGCAGACATTCAATTCCTAAATCCTCACGGCTGCCTTGAGCGTCCGTATTGATATAACTTGAAGCGAAGGGTCAATAAAATGACGATAAATGATCGTCTTTCTTCTCACAATTGTGAAAATGAAATGGAGCTGAAAAATATTTACCTACATTGATTTAAGTAGGATTCATCTAAACACGCCCTAATTCGCCCAATTAGCCTCATTAGTATGCCAAATTCGAGTAAGTCTACGTCGTACAATTCTTTTTTCCTTGGCACTATAGCCCCAGTGGGCCTAGGCCAACCCCCATGAACTCCGTTCACTTCGGTTTTTCTAGATCTTACACATACGGTAGGACCCCTTGGGCGGGTGATCAGCTCGTCGCGAGGCCTCTACCTGTACACAAACACAGAAAAACGCACACAAACATCCATGCCCTGAGTGAGATCCGAACCCACGATCCCGGCTTCCTAGCGAGCGAAGACAGTACATACCCTAGACCGCTCGGCTACCGTGACCGGCACGTCGTACAATATTACTGCCCTATATTAAGTTTCTTGAAGTATATAAATAGCAGGTTCCTTCTCTCATTGTGCTCCCATTATCCGGTACCATCTGCAGCCCTAAATTTATTCCATCTGTCATGTCAGAACCTACCCTAATAATTCCAAACAGTTTCTTCTGACATGAAGCCGGAACTGTGAACAAAGAATCCAAAAAAGTCAGTCTAATCCCTAGCTTTATAAACAGACGTCCTTGAACAATAGAACATTTCCACTGACCGGTCAGATGCCCCTTGCTTCAAATAAGAATACATTACAGAATGAGATCGCGTCATGTTGTACATCTTCTTTCAGTGACTTCGGCTATATATATTTATTTACGCCTTTCTATCATTTTAGTAGCAATGTCAAACCCATAGAAATTAGTCTGATATACGGATGGATTTGCTGGTCCCATTTCACTTTACCTAACACCGCTCACCCCATGTGTATTTGATGCCTGATTGAAGCAATATTTTAACTTTTTAGAATATTATGATAATCAGTACTCAGTTTAACATTATAAACTTTTGTGAATCTAATTCTTAGAATATATGTAGAGAGAATTATTCAGGTTACCCATGCACGTATTTAAGAGTTTTTCCATCCTGCTTTAAGCTAATTAATTTTGTGTTTCAGTTATTCCTTTCCTTGTTCCTGAAACGTCATCATTTCTATTCCGCATATGTTATCAGTTTATTTCGGCCGGTATTCTGCAGCTCCTTCAATTTAGTGTGTTTTCTAATTACTACAAATTTTCAACATGTATCTTACAAATTATGGTCTATTCCGCCTCAGTTCCTAATATCCTATATTGTCTGCTGCTCTATTCTTATATTCCATATAACTCTTTCCCAAGGGCTAGTGAAGTGCACCTTTTCAAAAGTACCAGACCTATTTAAGATTTTAACTCAATACTAATTTTAACTTCCTTGCCGTTTATTTCTGGATTCTTTAGACATAAAACTTTGCTTTATTTGTTCTGTTTTTTAACGTCTCTTCCTAACATTTGCAGCCTCCTGTAGACCTCCACGTGACCTATATTTTGGCGCCATTTTTAAACCGCTGAAACGTAGTAAATGTGACCGTTCGAAATTCCATCACAATATAAGAATTTTGTATACCTGATAATAGTTCTCCCCTTAGACGAGGCAATGTTTGCTGCTCTGGTTGCATAACCATTCGCTCTGCTCGTGCCACGTAAATTCTTGGCACCAGCTCAATACAATTTCCTGCACGGTTCGTAGAGAAGAGGTCGAGTGAATGCACCAGTGGCTCGCGAAAGCTCGCTTGTGTGCATGTGTGCCTCCAGTCATGGCATGCACATGCAGAAAAATATGCATAAACCCCCTTCCTTTCACCTCTATTCAGAAAACAGGAACATTCTAATTACAGAGTACACAAACAGGAAGAGCAATTGGTATGTTGGCGGAAAAGGACAGGCTTAGCGCATACGCGCAGTAAACATGTTTCTGGAATGTGAAGGTATGTACAGACGCAGCAAAGCATCTCTGAGCTTCGTTCACTGTTACAAACACAAACGTGGTTGGATTAGCCAATGTGATAACAGGGAAGCAGGGGAAGACTTCCAAGGGTCAACACATACGGAAAGAAGTTAATCCTTCCCTGTACTCCCCCAACCCCTTTCCTTTCACAATTTTCGTCATACCTTCTTGACAGACTGTGTGGCCTAGTGGTCAGATTTCCTGGCTAGAGATCTAGAGGACCCGGGTTCTATTCCCGGCGCTACCAGATTTTCTGAGAAATAGTGGCTCTGGAACAGGGTCCCATCAGCCACGTGAGGATAATTGAGGAGTTATTTCAAAGAAATATTGGCTCCGGTCTAGAAACCCGAGATTAACGGCCGTGGGAATCCGTTCCTCTGAGCACGCGACAACCTCTATCCGCAAAAGTTGGCACTAACTTCGCCGACAAGCGGCGGTCGCTCGGTCGATATAGCTCGCTTGCGGGCTGTACGCCACGGAGTGTTTTTTTTTGTCATCCTTTCCTCTCTTTCTGTGACGTAATTTTTTTAATTCGCTTAGTTGAGTGGGGGGTGGAGTCCAACTGGGTCCACTCGGCACGGCGGCCACTGATTGGCCTGTTGTAGCCTGCCCCGGGTGATTATGATGATGGGGAATTTGGTGGAATGAAGATTGGCAAAGGAAACCGAAGTACTCGGAGAAAACTCGCCCCACCACAAATCTCACTTGACCAGTCCCGGGATCGAACCCGGGCCGCTGCAGTGGGAAGTCTGCGACTAACCGCTTGAGCTATGGCGCGGCCCCTTTGCTGTGACCTAGCTGATACTCGGAGATATTTTGCATCGAGTGGTTGAGAGTTTCGGGGTAGTTTGGGAAGGGTCTTTTGAATATTCTGGACACAGAACTAGATAAAGTAACACCGGCAGAAAAGCAAGGCCAAGAAGAGTGTCTGGAGACAATGATGATCCATCTTCCGAGTCATAGCCATGGAGTCTAGATACCTGGGTTCGCCCCTCAGTGTGCTGATTCTTCCTTCAAGTAAGATGGCACGAAACTACCAGTGCAGCCAGCGGGCAAAATGGGATAACAGGATCTCGACTGACTGTACTGAACTGGGTGTGTGAGAGACCTACGGTAGGGTGGAGTGTTTACTATTGAAAGATGTAAATATTGTGATAATTGGGATCATCGAACCAACAGCAACCGTAAGCGAGGTAACTTAGCAACAGATAATGCCAGCGGTAGGTGATACAGTAGTTCGCATCCCGTTCTGTCGCAAAATGGCGTGAGAAGCTCGAGAGGAGAAAGAGAAACATCTTATGCAGAAGCAACATAGTGTTAACTATGTGAGGAAAGTAGCGTAGAATTTGCAGAGAATTCAGTCAGAGGTATCGTTTGTTACATAAGGTTTCGTACTATTCATCTGACCTGAATTCTCCCATATTCCTTTGCAGTCCTCCATGTTATTGAATGATACGTCGTCTCCGACCTTTAACGCTATCTGCCACTAATAACACGTACAGATTCAATCTTGAGCGATATGCTTATGTATTGCACTACAATTTATGAGTCCACAGCCGTCCACATTAGAACTCACAGAACAGACATGTTGCACTGAAACCAAAGATTTATCGCTCGTTAGTGACCAGCTACATAACGTATGTTTATACAACCTGTATACGCTATAAAGTTCGTTGCTCTCGTAACATTCAATTGCATAATTTCAAGGCTTTCCTCTCAAAGGTACATTACTTTTTTATACATAGACGGAAATGTCTAATAAATTTGTATTATCGACTGTAATAAATACGCGAACAGGTTATTTCTCGAAGTTGCAACGGATATGCAGGGGCATGTGCGTCTGTTAAAGTGAAATTGAAAATGTGATGGTTTGTTTCTGTTCAGCGGAAGGGATCTGTCTCAATGACCTGCACTGGGAGAGGCGGAAATACAGTGCCTTTGACGCTTATTCCGAATCCAAGCTGGCCAACGTTCTGTTCAGTGTGGAGCTCGCCAGAAGACTCAAGGGTAACAAAGTTAAACCATTTTATCTTGTTTAACAGATTCGACATCAGCATTCACAAATTAAATTGCAATTTATTTGACTCATCTGTAAAGATAAAGTTATTTGTTCCTGTGCTTAATTAATTAAACACTATGCCATGAAAGCGTATGGGGGAGTGAATGTATAGATCCATATTTTCTTGACCTCGGCACTAGCTGGAGGTGAGTGGTCATATTAACTCCCCGGGGAAAGAATCCTAGGTAACCATTTGATAGGAGGTTGGGAGGACCCCAGAGCCGGTCTGGACCGTGTGGAGAACAGAAAATTCTTGACAATACAGGGACTTGAACTCCCGTCCCTTCGGCTGTCCAGCCCATAAGCAGTCGCTATACCGACTGTACTACCCCGGCCCATCTGTGCTTTCGTGAAGTATATTCTCTTACCTGTGACAACTCTCAGCCTATTAAACGCCGGTTTCACTCATGGAGTTCCGCGTTCAAATGCAGGAGGGTCCATATGAGTCTTATGATGGACAAACTGCCTCCTAGGCAGGTTTCTCTCAGGGTTCTATGGATGCTCCTTCTTAACCAATACCGTTCGAGTAGTACCTCATGTTCAGACACAGGTACAACAGATAAACAGCAATGAGGTTGAAACTCAGAGCACTGTGCTCTGGAATGCAGCACCGTGTACAGTAGTTCGATAGGAGTTTACCGATATTTCAGAGGAATCAAGCAGCAAACAGATCCACTCAATCTGCTTGCCACTTTTTTTTTAATTCGCGTAGTGGGGGGTGGACTCCAACCGGGGTCCACTCGGTACGGCGGCCACTGATTGGCCTATTGTAGCATTCCTCGGGTGATTAGGATGATGGAGAAATTGGTGGAATGAAAATTGGCAAGGGAAACCGAAGTACTCGGAGAAAACCCGTCCCAGGGCCACTTTGTCCACCACAAATCCCACTTGACAAGAACCGGGATCGAATCCGGGCCGCTGCGGTGGGAAGCCAGCAACTAACCGCTTGAGCTAGGGTGCGGCCCTTGCTTGCCACTTACTTCTTCAACTTAAAGTTTGACCCTGAATATGAGAGTAATACCCTTCTCTGAAACTGGATAAACCTCTACTGTACTCCGTGGTGCCACATACCAGAATATAGCCCTAAAGCATATTGGAGACCAGAGTCCTATTAGATACGAGTATATTAACTGGGTGTCCTGTCACTCTACCCCGAGGAGGCAAACACGAGCTTAGTTATTTTGAAATAAATAAAAGAATGATGACGATACATCAAGGAGGATGAGATGGGTAGGGCATGTAGAACGAATGGGGAGAAGAGGAATGCATATAAGATATTGGTAGGAAAGCCGGAAGGAAAGAGACCACTGGAAAGACCAAGGCGTAGGTGGGTGGACAATATTAAAATGGATCTTAGAGATAAGAAATTGGATATGGATTAGATTGATCTGGCTCATGATAGGAACCAGTGGAGGCCTCTTGTTAACACGGCAATGAACCTTCGGGTTGCATAATATGTTGGGAGATTCTTGAGTAGCTGCAGAATTGGCAGCTCTTCAAGAAGGGCTCAGCTCCATGAGTGAGTGATGATGATACAGGGATGAGTACGAATCCAAAAAGAAACATTTCGGTGATATGACGCTGAGAGTTTTATGTTAGGGACATTGAGCTTCCAGGTGATATTGACCGAGGTTGTTGGTCGGTCGGTCAGTAGACCATTCAGCTTACTACTGAGTCCAGTGACTTAGTCAAAATCATCTATTCGATCTAATCTGTCAGCATGGCAGTCAAAATATCTGAGATGTGGGGATCAAATAGCCCCTCTGTTTTTCTCAGGTATGGGAGTCACCACGTACGCGGTCCATCCTGGTGTCGTGGCCACAGAGGCGGCGCGCTATGCCAGCCACTCGTTCTTCTCGGGAGCTCAGTGGCTCTTCGAAAATGTACTGGTGTACTTCATCAAGACCCCAGAGCAAGGAGCGCAGACAACGATTTACTGTGCCGTGTCCAATGAGGCGGGAGGGGAAACGGGACTCTATTACAGGTAAGGAGGTTTGGAAATAACTACGCGCTAGTGCGGGTCTGAGGAAACTAGACACAAGTTATGTACTAGAATGTGTGTCAGAGTACTATGTATATATGTGTGTGTGTGTGTTAAATTGTATGTAATAGCTCAGTCAATAACCGAAGGATGTCATAGCTTTATAAATACTCCCTCACTTTCAATTTAATATCACCTGCAGTTCACGCTCCACCTTCGTGTTCCAAGATCTGCGATCGAACTAATGAAATTAATAGCGATTTCTTTTACACAGAGATTTAGATATATAGAGAAATATTAAAAATTATTACCATCAATAATTAATACACCCAAAACATCAGTACGAATTTCTTACAAATTACTCGCAAGATACACGAAATTTAAATGTTCCCCAATAAAGAAGAACCAAAAACTATTCAAGAACAATAATATAATAATAATATTCAAAACGACTAATAAAATACGAAATCATCTAAATGGAGAGAGATAACAATAGACACATATAATCTAATTGGGTTATACGAATTAAAATGCGACCAATTCCCACTCAAATATGTCGAACAAACTGGACGTACATTTAAAATCCAATATAAAGACCATATCCAGATCATAAAATAAATTAGCAGAACTCAAAATACGTCCAACATACACTCGAGACATGATACACACATGACACAATCGAGCAGATATTAGAAATACTACACATCGAGAAGAAATCCGATCGCTAAATACACTTGAACAATTCCACATACATGATCTAAGTAAACAAAGATTGAAAATGAATGACATCTTTACAAATATACATAACCCATATTTTAAATCATAATAAAAACATATACATTATAAAAAATACGCCCCCAAATATGCCCCAGCCACTGCCCTTATTAAAACATATTCAACTTCCCGTCCTTTGAATGTCACATAACCTATGAAACATAACTGCCATGATATTAAGTAGTAATTGCTACAAAGAGCGCCATAGAATGTGTACAACCACTAACTACAAGAAGACATGACACCCCTCCATAAAACAAGATGCAACATACAACATAAGTATTAGAAACCGAGGTTAGAGGAAATGAAAAATAAAATAACACATACAACCACTAAAATATCCACTCTTGTTACAGATTACATAGAAATACACTTCAATAACGAATAGTAAATTTCATGAGAAGTTGCCTGATGATGATCCAACTGGATCAAAATATGTATCAAATGTAAACACGAATAAAACTAATGATAATAGAATAATATTGATTATTACGACATTGTTGAATTGAATTGAACTGAATTTATTTACATTCTATAAATCCTAAGCAGGTTAGTACCTTTGGATACAGAACAAATAAAAAGGTTACATACATAAGTACAGGCAATTTTAGCTTAAAAATTAATATAACTTAATTTTACATCATTCTCTATTTACATTGAAGTATTCATCTAAAGATTAGAAGGAATGAGCATGTAGATAATTCTTTAACACTGATTTAAACTTTTTAGTATCATTGCCCAAGTTTTTAATACTTTGTGGCAGATTGTTGAACACTTCTATGTTGTGTTGACGGTTGTATAATAACAATATAATACTATAAATTAAGGAATGTTATATACGTCGGTGAGTTGTGCATTAATAATGAACAAATAGTAATGAAGGATGGACCTACGGAAGCAGTCCCTGCTGTCATACGGCAAGAAGAAGTGAAGGAATGTAATACCTGTTAGTGCTGGAGGGGAAGATATGATTTAATTGTTCCTCAAGGACTGTAGCCAATCACAGCGTTGGCGCGGTCTTTACCCGCTGTAATGCTGGCACCGTGGGGTTGAATCCCACTCAAAGCATGGACGTTTGTATGCGTTTATTCTTTATTTGTATTGTCCTGTGTAGGAAGCGACCTTGCGTTGAGCTGATCCCTCGTCCAGGGAATCCTACCAACTGTCAAAGATTAAAAAACTTAAGTGAAACGAAGCGCTTCACGGATACAAGTTGTTGGGGTGTGGTATCTAAGGTGGGGTATGCGTGCAGTATATGCTTCTGCAGTGGGTGAGGGTCCAGTAGGTCGTGGAGCGTCTTGGTCAGATTCCCCTAGAAGGTTGCGGCTGTGGAGCAGTCGAAGAATCTGTGATCTATTGTACGTGTTGTGCCTGGGCACCAAAGGCAGTGTGTCTCGCTTGCCCCGTTTGTGAGATTATACTCCAGGCGATGTCGCCGTCTTTGCTCAGGATGGGGTGGTGATAAACCGCTTCCCGTTTGATCTTAATCTCCAGTGGGCTGTTGTGTGGCAGTTCTGGGCGATATGGCCCGGCTTATGACATTTCCTGCCTGCGCTTTCATTGAAAATGACTTAGATTACGTGACTTACTCCCTCATGTTCTACAATTATAGTAGGAGGCATTTTTTCCACAACGGGTATTATCATGTTTGCTAGTCTCCTGAATAGATTCGAGAAAATTGCATAATGAGGAGCTTCATAACTTGTACTCTTCTCCAAGTATAATTAGAATGATCAAGTCAAGGAGGATGGGATGGGCAGGGCATGTAGCACGAATGGGGGAGACTAGGAATGAGTATAGGATATTTGTGGGAAAGCCAGAAGGAAAGAGACCACTGGGAAGATCATGGCGTAGGTGGGTGGAAAATATTAAAATGGATCTTAAAGAGATAGGATGGGATGTTATTGATTAAATAGATCTGGCTAGGGGCCAGTGGAGGGCTCTTGTGAACACTGTAATGAACCTTCGGGGTTCCATAAAATGCTGGGAAATTCTTGAGTAGCTGCAGAATTGGCGGCTCCTCCAGAAGGGCTCAGCTCCATGAGTAAGTAAGTCTCCTGAATGACTTTATGTGTCTGAGGTCCAGATGTACTGTTGAGCTGGAGAGTTGTGAGATGTGGGGTCTAGGGTTCCCAGGGTTATGCAGCAGTGCACGAACGTTAACATCACGCGGCACAAAATTAAGCTTGAAGTTGCTTTTATATTTTTAGGATAAAAGTTTTGTAGCTGGGATAGCTTAGTCGGTATAATGATTTTCTGCTGTCTGCATGAACAGGGAATCTGGGTATATTTACCTTCTCCTTAACATCGGATTTCATCTGAGTCCTACCCACAATCCTATACAAGAGGTACCAAGGGTTGTTTCCCAGAGGGTAGTGGTGTGAGGCTGTTTACTAACCTCCACCTACTGCCCAGATCAAGAACGGTGGAGCTATACTTCCACTTCCTATAAGTGTTCATGGCATGGTGCTTAATTAATTAACCATGGGCAACAATTTTTGTCTTAAGTGGAAAGCTTACGAAATAAAGACTGCGCATTGTACAAGATTCCGAAGCATTTGTTTAGTGCTGTCACGAAATTTTCGATTTGTGAGATGACGCTGCAGAAACATTCTCTCTTGTAAATCTTGAGAGAGCAAGACTTATGGGAAATATTCATTTGGCATAACTTTCCAGCTCTATATCATTTGTTCGAAACAAAGTTCGCTTTGACAAACATTTAGCGGATACTGTGAATTTCTCCCTAGATACCATCTAAGCATGTATAGATTTTCATTAGAACCCCTGTCACTGTTTTCAGAGTCTAACTAAATTTGGAATGATTCGACAAGTTTTAGCAGAATTCTCAAATGTCAAATTTATTAAAAATTGTTTATGAGAATCCATGTCTCTATAATTATATCGACAGAAGGAGAAAATTTTGATTAGAAAGAGAGAACATTTTTCTGGAAACCCCCACTCTAACTTGTTGCACAGGAAGTTTTTGCCTCCAAAATACTTTCTCTTACTTGTTTATGTTCCATACAAATTCACCATATACCATTTAGTTTTGTTTTCAATTCCTACTTGGACATTGACGATATGGCGTGTATGGTATATCTGCCTGTTGAACTCACCGTGTAGTCCTGTAAGAATATGCGGTTGTTTCGGAGAAACATGATGCCTTCATTCTCAGGGCTGAAAAGCGTAAGTTGAGGAACTGGCTCAGTTTCTTCAGGTAGCTGCAAAGAAGGTGATCGCTGGAATTCCTTAGAATGCCGTTTTTAAACTCACATCTCCCTTTGTCCCGAATCGGTCTTCATTGCCTGTTTCCCTCATTTCGGTTTCAGTGGCCACCGTTCTTGCAACCTGCCTATGTAGCCGACTCACTTCAACCTTCACTTTTCAAAGATAGCCACAGCACATTCCTCCTATGTTGGTATCTCTGCATAAAAGACTGCACGGTGTCACAACCCAGAATACCACAGAGTGAATAATCGCCGCCATAAAGAACTCCAAACTTATATTCGAAAATCGTTGTTGTGACAGGACCGACTCTATGGTCTAGTGGTCAGAGTTCCTGGCTACAGATCCAGAGGTCCGGCTTTGATTCCCAGCTCTACCAGACTTTCTCAGGAGTAGTGGGTCTGGAACGGGGGCCACTCAGCTTCGTGAGAATAATTGACTAGCTATTTCAAGGAAATAGCGACTCCGGTCTAGAAAACCGAAATTAAAGGCCGTGGTGATTCGTTACTTTGACAATGCGACACCCTCTATCCGCTAAAGTTGGCACTAACTTGCCAACAAGCGGCGGTCTCTCGGTCAGTATAGTTCGCTTGCTGACTAAAACCAGGGAGTTTTTGTTTCCTTTGTTGTTATGACAGGGACTGCAAGAAGGGGCGCCCAAATCCGTTGGCTTTCAACGAAAGGCTAGCAGCCGACCTGTGGGACAAGAGCGCCAAACTGGTGGGTTTGGGAGCTTGGGATCCATTTACTGCCTTGGACACAACATCCGGGATTATCGATGAAGACTCCAGACTCTCAAGACAACTATGAAGATACCGTTGACATCGAGCTTTATAGGGTACAAGGAAAAAACTTTTGGGGCCAAAGCATCAAGCCACAGTAATCTCAGTATTGTATATATATATTACTGTATGTAAAGTAATGTATTTTAAAAGGTTTTACATGGAATGGTAAATTTTCGGATGCCGAATGTTTCGTTCTTGGAAAGCTTCAATCCATTGGCACCAATAAGAGCACAGAGTGTCTCAAAATGAGGAGACATTTGACGCACTGAAATTAAATCTCTCCATATAAGAATCACAGTTCGGTGATTTAAGATTTGTAGATTGTGTCGCCTCATGATGGCTCCATGAGAGTCGAAATATGTTGCGACTTTATGCTTTAATCCAATAAAATCTCAGTTGATACGATAGAGTTAAAGTGAGTTATTTTTATTGATTGTTGTGTTTGACAGGTATACCAATATATATATATATGTGTGTGTGTGTGTGTGTGTGTGTGACGTATCTGACATAGTATGTATGTGATTCTAAATTATTGTCCGGGTTTCAGTGGTCCATAATTTTCAAATAGAAAATAATAAAATAGAACTGCTTATGGGATATGAAACTGTAACTCAAATTATTTTATTACAGAATCAGTGCTGTAGTATGCTAAACAACTTCAACATACGCTCCTATCTTGGCCGTAAAATGTCCAAGCGGTATTCAGTTTCCCTCCCAGTGTTCTCCAGCATTTGCGGTGTAACCCATTCGATCGCAGCAACAGTTCTGAGGTTCTCAGCTTCAGTTCACCGAAGGAGGTCACAGGCAGTCACAGGGGTCTTGTAGACAGTGTCCTTAATTCATCACCACAGGAAGAAATTAAGTTACCGAAACCATGGAATTTGTCCATCACGCCCAACCCAGCGCCCAGGAAAATGATTGTCAAAAAATTCTCGGACAATATGAGCCCAATGTGAGGGTTCACCATCTTGCTTGAATACCTCATTTGACTGATGATCTTCCAGCTTGGGTAACAGATACAAGTGTAGCATGTCCAGGTAAGTTATCGCTGTCACTGCTTGTTCCGCAAGGGAAAGGGGCCCCAAAACTTCCGAACAGGACAAAACTAATTCGATTTCTCGAATGACATGAGGGTTTTATGATAACCATATTCTACTGTTATGACGGTTATACTCCCTGATACATAAAACGTTGCTTCATCATTCAATATTCATCTCCGAAGGTAATTTCCATCAACTTCGACATTCGACAAAATGTCTTTGGGAACTTGGAAACGGCGGAGTTTATCGTCCGCCTTTAAAGCCTGCACAATATACATTTTGTAGTCATGGAGGTGAGGGCGGTTATGAACAACCCTCCAAACAGTCTTTTGTGATAGGCCTAACTACAAAGAAACTCTTTTAGTTGATTTCTATGGGCTTCGAGAAAACGCTTCCTGGATTCAGTCAACAACTTCCTGCGAAATGCTTGGTTTTCCTACTCCTCTTCGATGCAGAAGATTACGAGTCTCTTGAAATTGCTTTGGCCAACGTCGGATACCTTTATTTGAAGGCTTATCTTTTCCATATTGAGTTTTCTAACGACGCTGCATTTCGATAACAGACTTTGTTTCGAAAAATCAAATTACACATTATTCTTTCGCTTGAACAGTCGTCATTTTGAGTTATGGCTTCATATTCTCTCCCAGGCATCAATTCTGGATGTACAGCGTTGTTATAATTTCATATTCGTAAGCAAGTTTGTTGCTATTTCAGGTTTGAAAATTATAGGCCACGAAAAAACCGACAATAATTTAGAATCACATCGTATGCTGACGTTCCCAAACGTAAGGAGCATGTTGTGATATATTTAATTGAGGTTTCGGCAACGGTATCCTCGTGTCTCATGCGGCAGCCTCTGAACATAGAGTAGTCACAATTATAAGGGCATAAATTCAAAACCGTTTCAGTCAATAAGTACATTTTTGTTTTCCTCCATGAAATGGAATGTTGTACATGCCAGTATGGTCTTTAACTGCCAATCTAATTTTGAAACACATATAAAGAGCAGCTTATTATTTTATTTGACGTCTACAAAATATTTACAAATCATTTATAGCCAAATAATTATTTTACATAATTACAACATATTTCTATCAAATACTGATCATAATGAGGTGAACACTTATAAATGAAAAACAAATTAACGATTGCATACTGTGGCTTCCCTGAGTTGGAAGTTGGTTCCATTTCCAATGTGCTATTATATACCAGAGAGTCAGTATAGAGTTTACAAATGGAAGTAAAACAGCTGTAATTGAAGTAATAGCTTTTCTGTATGCACATCTAGGAAGCAGCACATTCTAGCTTCATAACAATCTAGGCAGCAGACGCACATGCACATGTTCAGAGGCTGGTTCCAGTAGTCAAAATGGCAACCGTGCCTGAGGAGTGTAATATCAATTTTGTCGTTTTTTCAGTTTGAGGTGCCTCGGGTTCGGTATTTTCAGTTTTGGTGATGTTTCAGGTTAGGGTGTCTCAGGTTTGGTGGTTTCAGATTTGGTCGTTCTTTCAGTTTCGGTTGTTGTCTTGGATTCGGTAGTTCCTTCAGATTTGGTCGCTGTTTCAGTTTCGGTTGTTGTCTCGGATTCGGTAGTTCCTTCAGATTTGGTCGCTGTTTCAGTTTCGGTTGTTGTCTCGGATTCGGTAGTTCCTTCAGATTTTGTCGCTGTTTCAGTTTCGGTTGTTGTCTTGGATTCGGTAGTTCCTTCAGATTTGGTCGCTGTTTCAGTTTCGGTTGTTGTCTCGGATTCGGTAGTTCCTTCAGATTTGGTCGCTGTTTCAGTTTCGGTTGTTGTCTCGGATTCGGTAGTTCCTTCAGATTTTGTCGCTGTTTCAGTTTCGGTTGTTGTCTCGGATTCGGTAGTTCCTTCAGATTTGGTCGCTGTTTCAGTTTCGGTTGTTGTCTCGGATTCGGTAGCTCCTTCAGATTTGGTCGTTGTTTCAGGTTTGGTATTTGCTTCAGTTTTTGGCGTTGTTTCAATTTCAATCGTTGGTGCTGAAGTTACTGATGTAGACGTCGTTATTGTTGTTGTTTGAGTTATATCGATTACTTCCCACTGTATTCGACCAGCCGTAGCATTGCAGAGGTCAAGTTCTAAATTCGTTATTTCAAGGACTTGGTTTTCTTCAGTCACAGTGCAGCTTGCTTCGGTGTTTGGACCAACACTGACCCTGAAGCAAGCTGTCACGTTCAGTCCATAGACTGAAATATTCTGGAGGATAGAGGAAGATGGGTTGGTGCAGTTGCTCTGAAAGTCCAGTCCACTTTCGTTAGCGTGAAAATTGAATGTGATGTTTGAATTGACGTAGAGATCACCGGCAGCATTACAGGCACCATCCTCACGGCAATTGAGACCAACCACCAAACTGTAAGAGCCTGCGAGTGTTGCCTCGACAGTCGGCTGGGCTTTCTATAACAGTAATGCAGGTATTAAAGTCACTTCCGAAATTAAATTTTCTGACCCACGCAATAGTAGACAAGCTACAAGATACAATGGACGACCTTGAACAATTATTTCAAATTTGATCGTCTAAATTGGCATTAAAATTCTGAGGCCGTCTTATGTTGAAAATGTTGATCACTTTATACGGAACCACAAATCCCCTAAATTTTTAAATATTTAGTAAAAAGCGCAAAGTTAAATTGGGAATTCTGGACTGAAAACTCAATAGAATAAGCACAATAGCAATAGCCTATAAGCACATTTTCAGCAAAGATCGACATTCGCTTGCCGTGGGGTTAAAGTGGCCGATGCGTGGATGTGACCATTCACCTCCATCTAGTGACGAAGAGAATCATGCAACTCATGAACTACGAAACCGGTATGCAGCAGAATTCCTTAAAGAGTAAAATTGGCTGAGATAGCCAGAAAGTTACCCATGTTTTGTGGAGCCCAAGGGGCCGGTGAAGTTAATGAAGCATCCTTAAGAATCTGTGAACCAGCAAATCTTAGTCCTCCCAGGCCAATCAATGGACAACGCACCTAGACCCATGTCTCCATCTCGTTCTAGAGTCAGCACTTCTTCACTGAATTGTCTATGGCTCTAGGGAAAAGTGTTGATGTGTGTCCTACAGTCAAAGTACCCTCAGTTACTCGTACTTCACACAAAATTCCGTCGTATTATCCCAGTCATCTCACAGTTTCAATGTTCTATTGTGATGATCTGACTTCACAATAGTAGTTGCAAAGTAGCCATCGAATTAATCGTAGTAAACTACAGCTTCTAAATTCTTAAGGATTACTTTCAGGCGCCACAACACTTGTTTTTGGATCCTAAGTAAACACTGGAAACCCTGTAAGCACGAAACATACAGAGAACCCGCAAGAATAGCCCATAAGTTAAAGAAGTCCCAATTATATCAGAAACAAAAATTTTTATAACACAAGTGGCAGAGTATAACCATTTGTAATTCAGGACTAACAATAACCAATTCCATCCAACACACGCAACAATGCAAATATATTACAGTACAAACTTTCAGAAATTTGAATATGGCATGGCTGCCTCAACGTTTTCAAACTCATATGCGATACAGATGAATAACGCCATTATTTCCCTAAATTCCAACAGTTTAGGTGGCAGTTATTTATCTATGACTCAACAATCCTTTTTGTTGAACCTTGGTCCATCTTCAGTTTCTTGATCTTCCTACACAGTTGGTAGGACTCCATTGACGGGGGATCAGCCCGTCGCAAGGCCACTACCTACACACAGGACGACACAAACACAGAATAAACGCACACAGACATCCATGCCTCAAGTGGTATTCGAAACTAGAATCCCAGTGTTTCAGCGAGCGAAGACTGTTCACGTCTTAGACTGGGCGGCCATTGTGATCGGCATTTTGGGCGGCCATCGCCGCAAAATATAAGACGCCTTTATTTAAGTACCAACATCACTCACGGTCCGAAGTAACCTCCCAAATTCCGCCGCGGTATGTGGCTTAAGAAGATAATCGGTACATCGATACAAATATTGTGACAGAGAGAAAGAAAATATCGGGTACTCTAATTCTCATATTTTCAATATAGACGGTCCTTGTCCAGTGGCGGAGCACCACAACTCCTTCGTTCCTATGTAAGGGATGTGGAAACGACACTGAGTCTGCGGAATTCCTTCCAAGGTCCCAAGAAGCAATCTGCTCACAATATCCAGGCCAGTCTTTCTCTCTCATAGTTCCCTCCTAGGAGAATTCCGAACTTGCGCGCAGGCTCATCACGGGCTCCTAGATAAGGTACTTCGTGAAAAAAACAAACAAATAAACTCCGTAGCCTGTAGTCCGCAAGCTAACTATACCCAAACTAGCGACCGCCGCTTGTCGGCGAAATTAGTGCCAGCTTTTGCAGATAGAAGGTGTCGCGTGGTCAGCGCAACGGATCCCCACGGCTATTAATTTCGGTTTTCTAGACCGGAGCCGCTATTTCCTTGAAATAGCTCCTCAATTATCCTCACGAGGCTGAGTGGACCTCATTCCAGACCCACTACTTGTTAGAAAATCTGATAGTACCGGGAATCGAATCCGGGACCTCTGGATCTGTAACCAGGAACTTTGACCACTTCACCACAAAGGTACTACAATATAAAATAGCACCGAATGCCGTCGAACTGCGTAGAAAGGTATCGTAAATATTTACAATGTAAGAAAATGACTAAACATTGCGGTAGAGTATGTAACGCTTCTACTTCAAATTCAAGATACCAACGTTCAAAAATATTTACAATGTAAGAAAATGACTAATCATCGCGGTAGAGTATGTAACGCTTCTGCCTCAAATTCAAGATACCAACGTTCAAATTTCTGCTAGCAGACTGGTTATCCTAACCACGGGTTTTCGTTATTTTTCTCACAGCCTTCAGTCGAATGACAGAACACATCTTAAAGTAGTCCAACTGCTTTCTCCCACAACCATTCGAGTCCATAAAGCTACTTTTTGCTTATAGTTTACAATTTGTGGTGCCGGAGTTTGATTCCCTGTTCCTGCTCTTTGGCATCAAACTTAAATATTTATTGCTATGAAAAAGAACTCACCTAACTTGCACTGGCGCCTTAACTATACATATCCTGTTATTAACTTTGCCAGCTATTAATAATCCAGATTTATTTCTCATACTTCGCTCTTGTGCTTTCGTGCTATATTCAACCATTTCTCTTTATATCTGAGCATATATACAAAGCGATTCTAAATTATTGTTCGGATTTCCGTGGCCTATAATTTTCAAATCGAAAAAATAAGATAAACCTGCTGACGGAATATGAAATTGTAGTTAGTTAGTTATTGGAGAGGGTGAGTTTCCCCATGCACTTAGACCTGTCTTGGTTCATTGTGCTTCCCTCTATGATATTCTACCACTCTCTATATCCTACCGGTACTGGTGCTTACCATCAGTCCCGCCCAGCCAGCGATACCGGCTCTACAACTGAGTTGTATCTATAATGCTTCCCCCATCTACCAGAGGTATTAGTGACTACTTTTGGGCAGGAAACGTCCGTAATTTTGCTCGGGACCCACGGCTTAAAGTCCCTCCCGGAGGACTTGTTCCCTGAATGTTTCCGCCCTTAAAAATTCGACGACTTCCGCCGGGTATTTGAACCCGCGTACTACGAGTCATGAGGTGGGAACCTTACCTCTAGACTACGGAGGCCGCTTATGAAATTGTAAATCAAAAAGTTTTATTTGGCAACGCTGTACTCGCCGCATTGATGTCCGAGAGAAATTATGAAGTCATACTTCCAAATGACGTACTTTGGTCCGCTATCAGAATGCAACGTCTTTACAGAATTCAACATATAAAAATCCAACTTTAGATAACGCTGACATTGGTTTAAAAAATTTGAGAGACTAGAAGTGTTCTGCGCCGATCACGGTAGCCGAGCGGTCTAAGGCGTGCACTGTCTTCGCTCGCTCGGAAGCCGGGATCATGGGTTTCGAATCCCGTTCTGGGCATGGATGTTTAGTGTTTATTTGTATGCATTTTTTCTGTTATTGTGTACAGGTAAAGGCCTTGCGACGAGCTGATCACCCGCCCAAGGATCCTACCAAATGTCTAAGATCTAGTAAACCGAAGTGAAACAGAGAGTTTCAAGGAGGTAGGCCAAGGCACAAATTAGGGCTGTAGAGCAAAAGGAGAAAAAAAATACTCTGCACCGAACAGGAGCGAGAAGGCCGAGCACTTCGCGGGATGTTGTTGACTCAATCCAGGAAGCGTTTTCTCGAAAGCCACAAAACTCAACTAGACGAGCTTCTTTGTAGTTAGCTGTGCCACAAACGACTGTTTTGAGGATTATCCATAAGCGCCTATAAGTAATAAAACTTTTTGAGTTTCACTTTCATATTCCATCATCAGTTTCATTCTATTGTTTCCAATTTCAAATTATAGGCCAAGATAACCCCGACAATAATTTAGAATCATCCTGTTTCCTGGCGTTCTTTTTTCCATGCATCCTACTTTCTTTCTAACACCTATTTTACATCGACCAACTTAAGTCTCTTGTCCAAAAGTTCATCCTTTCAGATCCTCCCTCCCCCACACCTCAGTATGCGGTTCAGACTTCCCCTTTCTTACACATGGGGTAGATCCCCTTTTCACTATTTCGGCTAGTCCNACGTTCCTCCGAAACGTCGGTTAACACCACATATACACGGTGCCAAATCTCAGAAGACTGCTTTCTTCATAGTCACCGCCGTGAAAGCCTCAAATCTTACATAGTCCCATTAAGTCCCCAAATTGAAATTTTCCACCATTCTTTCTTCTCTTCTCCTGTTCATAATTCTATTTTAACTCCCATCTCAGTCCATATTATTCCAAAATAGAGTCCAGGCCTGTAATCTTAGCAATTTGAAATATCGTTAACTAAAATATAACAACAACTTAAAAACCTCAGGTAAATCTAACGAACAAAGCTTTGTAGGGTATATCTATTAATGAACCGCATCGAGTAAAGATGTAATGGAAATTAAAGTAAAAGAGACTTAAAGTAAGTAGCTCATCTCTTATGCATTCGTCACTATCAAAATCATCTCTTGATGGAACGTCAATAAATAGCCCTAAGCCACAAATCAACTTCAGGCCACCTAAGCGGAGTAGAGCAGGCCATGGCCTTTTCAGCAGTTTTCTTTCCATTTCACCGCATACATTTTTCATTTCAGCTCAGTTAATTCTGAAATAGTTATACAAAAATGAAAATACTCCGTTGCCTGTGGTACACAAGCGAACTATACCGACCGAGCGACCGCCGCTTGCCGGCGAAGTAAGTGGACCGCCTCTGTGGTCTGGTGCTCAGAGTTCCTGTCTACAGTTCCAGAGGTTCCGGATTCGATTCCAGGCGCTGCCAGATTTTCTGAAACTTAGCGGGTCTGGAACGGGGTCCACTCAGCCTCGTGAGGATAATTGAGGAGATATTTCCAGGAAATAACGGCTCCGGTCTAGGGAACCGACATTAACGGTCGTGGGGATCCGTTGCCCTGACCACGCGACTCCCTCTATCCGCTAAATTTAACACTGAGTTATGCACAGCGCAAGCGCATAAGATAATGAACGACTGTACATACTCATATATCTCACCTGAGTAGGCACAATGAAGCCCCCTCGCAGCAGGAGCACCAGTTCATTGGACAGGTTCGTGACGTCTATTGTTACCCCACCTATACCACTGTTGACTTCATGACCCCCTTCGAAGAGATACCACGACACGTTCTCTGCTGGAAGATACACGGGAACTGCGACGGCTTTCTCATGGAAAGCAGGGCGAGCTAGAAGTGCGGGGCCGATCATAAATTGCTCGTATTTTGTCCACGTTTCCTCGTCAACTGGAAAATCAAAGAACATGGGTCTAGCGACCGGCACTCCGGTGTTACTAGCCTCATGGAACAGGGAGTAGAAGTAGGCCAGTAGTGAGTATCTCAGGTGCAAATATCTCTTCGCAGCCTCTCGAGAGCTTCCACTCTTCAGGTTCAACGGGTCTCGTAGGGGCAGCTCAGAGGAAACACGCATTAGCGGAAGCATGGAACTCATGAGGTACCACCTGCGGACAAATAGCTTTAGTTCAATTATTTTTGTATCAAAAATAAATTTACATTTGTGTGTCTGAGTCTCTTTCTGTGTGCACCGCCCTCTGGAGGTTGTTGAACTGATTGATCAATTTCCAAAAGCTTCCTATCACAGAAAACCATTTCACCATTGTACCTACTGGGGACGTTTAATGCCATACTCTAAATCTCTCCAGATATGATTTAATTCGAGATACTTCTCTGGTGCAAGGCCTCAAATATGTGGAGTATCAATAGTTAAATATTTTCTTAGGTCCCACAGATGGTTTGTGTTGTGCTTGGTTTATGAACCCCTTCTGAAACTGGCATAGATATCAGGAGTAGGGGCTATTGGACCCAACTGAGTAGGTTTTAGCTGATGACGGAGAAAGAATCTAGTCTCCGAAAAGTTGTTTTGAAAAAGAAACAGGACAGTTTTTAAAAAATAAAGAAGATGATGGACAGTGTCCAAAAACATAATACTTGTATCTAAATATCTCGACTTGTCTTGGTCGTCTGCATCTCGGCAAAGCGATTATTAAAATCCGTCCATCCTTTAGTATGTCTGTCCTACGCTCATCAAAGCAATTCGAGGAGCAATGAACGCGGATTCCTATGACATTTGTTTTTGAGAGTGTTACTAAAATATATCATATTCCAAAATGACATGCGCATCACATGTATTTCCGTTCGCATCTTGAACAGGATTTCTTAAATATTTATCAGAAAGATAATTTTTTCTAACAAAGAAAATGAAACATATTTCTTCCCCAAAACATATATTCCACCATTTGGAATTCCATGAACAAATAATCTAACTGAAGTCGTAATTTGTACACTCAATAATACATTTTTTCCCACGTTGAATATGAAAGTAGCTTTTTCCTTAATTTTTTCGTTGGAACATACATACAACTTCATATTCCGTGTGCTCAGAACCAAACATCAACATGCTGTCGAGTCATGAAGTGGCTGTAGTGGGGTTTGGATGTGTAGTCGCATTTATTGGACACTTTAGCACACAACTCGTGACTACAATTTACGAATCATTACCACACACAGACTTGTGTTCTCAGTCACAGTCATCACTGCTTTGCATGGTAACGTTTTCCAACAGTGGACGTTACTCTGCTCCGGGGCTCACGTCCTCGCAGGCTGGCCGCCATCTCACACCTACCTCCTACTCTTCTAACTGCCGTCTCAAGACTCTCTTTCTCGACTAATGGCATCTGATCCGCGTTATATGGCCCCGGCACGGAGCCAACAGAAAACAACTCTCGTAACAGTTGGAAGGGGTGCATTATAGTAAAGTAAGATATAGCAAACAGGAAGTTAAAATCTGCCCAACAGTTTCTCTATTCTTTAATGATGTAGCTATCGACACGGCCCGCTTCCCACAGTTACTCCATTATTGTGTTACACAGCCGTTACCTATCAATGGTTTTTCCTCTGCTGGCTTCACAATCCTAGCTTTCAGCAGACATGCCATAATATATACCTTTGGAAGAATAGATACATTTAGAACATATAAGTAGTGTACAGTTACTTTGTTATTAAAAAGTAGAAGCGTTAGATAAGCCATTGATCACGTGTAATATTTTACTTTGGATCTGACAAGTTCTGTTACAATAGTACGGGTAGTAAACAATTGGGGTGCTCTTCCTGGCCCCTGACACATGAAGCTTAAGATCCCCCATGCGTGTGTCCACTCATTTACAAATGTCTTCAGCTTCTAAATTACAAATATGCTCTCCCAGAAATCTGTTCTAAAATGAGCGAGAAACCGCGGCTCAAGCTCTTGCAGTTGTGAGCCAATTCATAAGACATAGGCCGCACACACGGGTCATTAATTCGATGGAAAAACTTCCAAAACGCAGAATGAAATAACTTGGAATTCCACTTGTAGGCTTCTCTCTTCACCATTTCTGTGCAGCTACGTCCATATATCGAATTCATTGTTCGAGGCTCATTCTCTTCTTATTAAACACCACATGTTTCGGCCTGCCTGGCCATCATCAAGTGTATACTGTAATTGAAAACTGCTGCTCTGCTGTTACGCTAAGATTTTGTAAGAACTTTACATTATTTGTAAAATGCAATGTGTGGAATACACAGTGCAACAGGATGCTTCAATGTCATAAAGAACTTGAAAGCTGGAGAAGGTGATAGAATAATACAAAAATCTGCATTGGAAAATGGGATGTGAAGATGTGACGTGGGTTGAACCAAGTTCATTCCGTCTGTTAATTAGTTGTTTTGTTGGTTATTTGGATAATCATTTTAGTCGCTTGGAGAGAAAATCAGGGACACGTCTGAGCCGTGTCATAACTCAGAGTTAGCCTTCCACTTCCCACGGTGGAAGGCCAGGGATGTCATCGAGGTTGTTGTCATGTGGGACTAATTGTCCAAAAATTGGCACTGACGCAGGTTTTCTCTGAGTACTTTAATTTCCCCTGATAATTCTCACTCCGCACGCTCGTCTGTCATCCTAACAACCGCGCCTGGTACACCAGACCCAATAGTGGCTGAGGTACCAAGAAGACTGAGTCTCATTTCACCTTAAAAGCGCGTCCACATTACTCTTGATCGTGCTCGCCAGGCTTGTGATCGTCGGGAGACTCGTCTGGCTTTTACTTGTGCTCGTAAATATTCGTCCACACTACATCAGTTGCTCGCCAGGGTCGGCGCGTGAGGTTCCGTATATTTACTCGTAGTGTGTATAGGCTGTAGTCGTATTTTATTTTATTGGATATGGTTTTTAAATTAAAAATTTAAAATTTGCTTGTCTCGTGACTTGTCATATCGTCCACATTACTCCCTAGCATAGCGAGTCACACGAACACGAGCATGAGTAATGTGGACGCCGCTTAAGAATAAACAGACGGTTCTGGAAAGAACAAATCTCCTACTTTCGTGAGTCTCTGAGTCTTACGTTACCACTGACCCTCAGTCGCAAAATCTGTCTTGGAATAAAGCACCCATCTTGAGCCTACGACCAGATCTTTATTACTCTCTGACGAGAGGACGGGTCTGTCGTTCACAATTGCTTCTGGCCCTCGCGAGCGCACCTCTCGGCTTGGAATCCCGTGGGACTCGCAACATATTTTACTGTCTAAGATTTGAGACGTCCTTTTTCGTCGCCTCCTACTACTCGCAGGGTTACGGTGCAGGTATTCGACCCCGCCTCCATACGGGATTCCTACATTCCTTTCACTACATATTGAGCATGTGATACGGCACGGATCGCATAGAAAACACCGAGTTCAACAGTTCTTCTATTGTTGCATGTCTATTCGTTGCTGCGGGAATGGTTTCTACGATATCTAGCCGTCGTTCTTTTGGTTTTGTTTTCGCGATCCTGTTACCCAACAGTTCCCTCCTTAGGGCTGCTCGTCTCGAGCAGACATTCGAAATTTACTGGGGGGCGGCGGACAGACACGCAGACAGCAAGGTGATCTCATAAGCCTACTTTTGTGTTTTCAAAATAAGGAAAGTGGGCTGAAAATAATACTCTGCAGTCAGCCAATACCGTACACTTGCGGTCTAGTGGGTTAGCATTCTTGGCCCATACTATGCAGGTCGCAAGGTCAAATTTCGATTCACAGGCCGGCTACCCTAATTGACGTTTCCCCGCGCTTTTCTCACACCCCTGTAAAGCCAGGCAAATGGCGGATTTGTCGACCGTTTCCTTCTTCGTCCTTTCCAATTATCTTCCTTAAATCACTCTACCATTCGGCCTTATACTGTATAACCTACATAGCTGAAAAGAAGTGTTTCAATTCTAGAAAGTTCGTATGAAACATTTGGTCGGTCATTTAGGAAGTCAGTCAATTTGATACTGGTGTATACGGAGTCCATATGAGATTTCAGGTGCAAGTATGACACTAGGTTCACGCTGGGCATGTCATTAAAAGGAGGGAGTTCCGAAATTCTGAACACTTATCACAAGTAAGCAGTCCTATCCGCAGTAAAAAACCAAAAACAAAGACATTTCGCTTTAGTGTGCTTTGAATATCTGCCTGTTAACAGAAATGTGTTTACCCTTGTCAACCCACCTGGTGCACAGCTCCTCGTCGTAATCACCCATAGTACCACATACAGACCCTCCGCCCGCCAAGGGAATTCCTGCCAGTCCCAGGCCCAGCGCAGTCTCCAGCGCTGTTTTCATGTTGCTCCATGTGCAAGCCACGTCGGCTCGTGCATGCGCATGGCTGCCACCCACAGCGCCACTCCCCGTATACGTGGCCGCACTTAGCACAATGTGCTTATCCGCTTGCAGATTCGAAGCAACCAATTTAGCGTGCTGTAGGCCGTACATGTTGTGTAATTGGTAGTGGAATGTGTTTCCATGACGGGCACGCCACCATAGTGTTCCACGTGAAAGTGTGCCCTGCACAGCGTAAACATGCGTCGCTACAAGCACTGGTAATTAGGTGCAGCACCTGACAATGCACTAGTAACTATTTCTAATAAATTTTACTGTAGTGATTTTTCTGTGGTTATCAACATTTTACTCACTGTACTTGTGGGGTTGGTTTGCTTTAATAAGTACCTGAAGATGGAGATAGAATCCGGTCTCCGAAAAGTTGTGTTTACGTGAAAAACAAGATTATGGATAATATCCAAAAACGCAATAATTGTATGGGGCACGCGGTAGCGTAGTTGGTTGAGGGGCTATGCTACAAGCCGGAAGGTCGCAGGTTCAAATCCCGATGAGGTCATTGGATTTTTTCAAGTGACCTAATCCTTCCAGCCGCACTATGGCCCTGGGGTTGACACAGCCTCTAACAGAAATGAGTACCAGGAATTAATTAAATTATTTTCCTGGGGAGTAAAGCGCGGCCGGCGCGTAAGGCTGACAACCTTACCGCCATCTTTGAGCCGATTGTTTAGATAATGTGGGACCCTCAACGTACTACAACCCTATGGGCCTTCACGGCCTGTTCCAGGGATAGCTTTACTTTTTTTTTACAGTAATTGTATAAATACCTATTGTTATTCCTGACCTCCATTAATTGACCTAACTTTCTAACGGGTGTCCATGAAGATTGGAGCGAAATTTTGCAGCATTATTTAGACCTGCTCTATCTCTAACGGTGGCTTGTCCGATTCGAATTGAGTGTCTGAAAGCTCAGGAGATGCAGTGAATGGGACATTTGATAAATGCAGTCATTCGCGTGCCCTGGCCTGGATGTAAATTAGATGTCATGTATTTAAGTTGCTGCTCGAACTTTTGAGTTTCGAATGACACTAGTACTATATCATGCACGACGTTATAAACTGTATGATATCCGAAAAATTCGGACCAATTCCTGTGCTGCGAATTGTTATGAGGAAGATAGCCGGCTCAAATTTCAGCTTATAGGTTTAATTGTCTCAGATCCACAACTGGACTCAAACAGGCAAAGCGATTTATATCAGGACACTCTGCCAGAAGAACGAAGGATCTGTTAAAATTAAACAGAGACCAATTAAGATGGAGGGTAGGGTTACTTACAGGACAAAGGCCTCCGTAGTCTAGGGATAAGGTTCCCACCTCATGACTCAAGGTACGCGGGTTCAAACCCGGCGGAGGTCGAGGAATTTTTAAGGGCGGAAAAATTCAGCCGTGGGTCCCGTGTCATGGCTTTACGGCACGTAAAAGAACCTCATGTCTCAAGGAGACCTCTTAAGCCAAATTTGTAAGGACATTTCCCGCCCAACAATAGTCTCTAACGCCTCTGGTAGATGGGGGAAGCATCTAGATACCGCTGAGCCAGTAGACGTCGAACTCGCTGGCTGAGTCGGGACTGATGGCACGCACCAGTACCGGTAGGGTATAGAGATTGGTAGAATATCATAGGGGGACGTACAATAGATCAAACTGGTCGCGGTGTATGGGGAAACCCACCCCCTCTAATAATAATAATAATAATAATAATAATACTTACAGGACACTGTCACTTAAAAGCACGTTTTCAAATTGGGACTGATAGATGACCCCACTTGTGAAAGGTGCCTACAAGAACACGAATCAGCCACACATATCCTGTGTGATTGTGAGGCCACAGCTTATTTAAGATTTCATCACCTGGGTCTGTTCTTCATGAAAGCAAGTGACTTTTATGACGGCCCCATAAATAAAGTTCTACATTTCATTCGAAGTGTAGGTTTAATATAGGGTTAATCCAAAGGGAATGCGCACTAGATCATTGAAGGTTGATGCAAGGGCCGGATTTTATGGCCCACACCTTACACATACTACTATATGCTACATACATATTTCATTGTCTCAGTGTCACATAATTAGGAAAATAAGTCCCTAGCGCCTTCATCTACATCTTCGTCATTAGTCTTGTAAAAAGGGGCTAATACTATTGCTCGTTTGTGGTCCCAGTACCGAAATGTTAAGTTTCGCTTCACTACACATTCTAGAACTTACTATGACTCAACCAGCAGATGCTGTGAAACTAACCTCAGGCACATACACCATATCCTCTCTGATGTTCTGATTGGTGTTCACGGCGGGCCAATTGTCCTGCAGCACAAAGCCTCCCAGCATATCATCTATATTTGTCGTCAAATTGGCAAGATGCTCGGCAAAGCATGTAGCTATTCCTTCGTTGAAGAAGTCAGGGTAAGACACGTTCAGGCCGTGATACTCCTCTTGCAAAGGCTCATCCTTGTCTTCGACCAATATAAACGGCTCACATGGAACCAGGATTGAATTTACCTGCAAATATGATGGAATACTTGTGTAGAATGAAATGAAAGATAAGTATAGATTGTTGCTGCCGAGTGGGTAATAATTCTGCTTCTAATTTAGGAGATCCTGGATTCAGATATCAGGAGGAGGCCCAGTATCCAGTGTCCAGATATCCTTATTCCAGCCAAGCAAATGCTTGGAGCGTTAGCAAGTGTCTGGATGTAAGATTTTTGTGCCTTGGCCCGCAGTGGTCTATCGTGTCACGCAAGGCGATGAATGAGAGTGGTTTCCAAAAATAAAAAACAAACTGCATGTAGACCTGAGAGTAAACACCACCATTCTGAAGCATCCAAAATATAACTAATGTCATTGCATAATGCGAAAATTATCCTGTGGAAACAAAAATTACCCTGCAGGCGAAGGGCGCGATGACTTTAGCAAGTTTAGAGGTACAATTATTGACTATTTGGACATGTCCATCCTCCTGTTTTTTAATTTAAAAACAATGTTTCATTCTGTAGCTTGGTTGGTTTGAGGTACTATGCTAAAAGCCGAAAGGTTGCGGGTTCGGTTCCCGATGAGTTCATTGGATTTTTCAATTGACTTAATCCTTCCAGCTGCACTATGGCTAGATAGTCCCTATCTCCGGGCTAGAGGCCTTTTACCTGAGGAATGAGACAGAGTCCAATCTTCGGAACATTATTAAAAAAAGAAAGAGGATGAATAATGTCCAAAAAGTCAATAATTATATTCACTACTTAAAAGAGTGCGACTTGCGGATTTTTAATTTAACACTCGTTGCAAGTAAATTGTTTTAATAAATACCACCCTTCAGCTAAAATTATTTGTTGCCTTTAGCGATTCCTTCGTCCTGCTACAAACGCTAGAGAAAAGATTTCATCTCACCGCTATTCTAACAAGTGGCACAGAAGTCAGCGTCATAGGTACAGGCCACCTAGATCATCAGAGGCAGGCCCAGAACCGACTGCTGACATCCGAACTAATCTTCATACTCCATCGTACTTACCGTATTTACGCATGTATAGGCCGTACATTTTTTGCCAAAAATTCAAGAGGAAAACTGGGGTGAGGCTTATATTCGAAATATTCGAAATCACACTTCATTTAAAAAAAATTATATTCGGAATTTTTCGGAATAATTTCTACTCCTGAAATAATATTCCAAGAAATTATTTTTTCTATAATTTCTGTCTGAAAATTGTTCTGCGGCCTATACACGCACGCGGCCTGTACATGCGTAAATACGGTAATTGAATGGTGGGTAGCGGGAAACTACGAACTAGCCAAGTAAATGTAGAACTTCAAATGGACAGGTATAACATGTTCTGTAATATTATTTGCTCCACTGTTGCATATGTTAGTAGCAATTAATTTATTAATCATCGAATGATGTAACCGTTAGGAGCCCGTAACTGTATCTACAGCCATCAGACCAGCCTGGCAGTCTCACAAAGTATTACTGAATTCTGTGCCGTTACTCACCTGTGGGGGAAGAGACAGTAGCAGCTTCCGCCCTGTCTCTCGAAACTTCTCTGCTACGCTTCCCATGATTTCAGACATGTTAAAGTCAAACTGATACAGAAGTTCCTCCTGCAAGCAATCTGACTCGTAAGGCAACTCGGTGGCCCCCTCCATGAAGTACAGAGTTTCGTTATCTTTTGATGTGTTCCTGCAGACATGAAACCCTAGCGCCCACGGAGGTGGAAGAGTGGGGCGTCGTCCCTCAATCGAGGTGTACTGTTCCATCACGTCTGCTGGAGTAGGACCTGCGAAGACGCTAATATCCCACATCACTGTGGAAAGGGACTTTACTATGAGAAGATTCGAATTTTCCAATAGCTGAAATTCCAGTGGCCCTGGATTGCTGAAGAGGACCCCATAGGCACTGCCTTCAGCATCCAGGATGATGATAAAAGGGTTCGCGCCTAGCCTTTGCCCAGTATTGTACAGGAGCTTGGGTTTCGAAGACAGTCTTAAACCCCCCAACCCAAACAGAGCTGCTTCCTTTGGGAACTGAAGTGACAGCTCCCAGTAATTCTCACTGGCAATTGTAGGACCTCGTGAGGTGCTGAAGAGAAGCGACCTCGTATTTTCTCTGCGATATATTTGCAATGAAAAATATTCAGGGCCGAATGCTTCTGCTCTGAATTTGGAGGAGGTTAGTGGGGTCCTATTTGTGACTTCTGGTTTGCCGGTCTCGGGGTCGTAGAGATAGAAGCGGAGATGGTCTTCAGAGATGGGTACAAAATAAGTGTGTAGAAGGCCAACTACAGATTTTCTGTAAGGAGAAGTTCGTAGTCGAGTCGTGAGGTTTAGGTACTCTGTCTCGAGTTGGCTGACCGCCCACTCATTGCCCTGCCAGTCCTTGGCGCTGTAGCTGTGTTGAGAAGGAATGGAGTGGAAACACGCGTTGTCGGTTTCGTTCCAGCAGCAGTTAATTTGCAGGCAAGTTTCCTCCACCATAGGGATTGCATCCGTTAGACACGGAACCCTGCACGAAAGTAATCAGGTAGTTGAGCCAGCGTTGTGTTTTTATTTGTCTATTATTGTTGTTCCATCATCAAATTTCTCACATTTTATCGAAATTTATTCAGTGTGCCTAAGAAGTTCAAAGTCATTCTATTCGTTACAGAGCTGTATGACACTGAAATAAATTATTTTTTTATTTGGTATTTTGAATTTATGCCCAGATCTACCTTCTGTGTTTGGTTTCATAATTTCTTTCTGATGTATGATTGTGATTGCATTGAGTATTATTACGATTTCACATTGTTGCCATGAATCTTTAGTATTTTCACGAGCTGAGTCTATTTAATCTTTTCTTGAAATATTGTTCTGCAATGATGCTTATTTTTCAACTGGATCTGGCCTTGTTTTTATTTATTAATTCGTGTATTGCTTTCAAATTTGCTACCAGTTAAGAATGGGATATTTAGTTAGTAATGTCGGTGTTTTACAGGACCCGCCATAGCTCAAGCTGTTAGTCGCTGGCTTCTCACCGCGACGGCCCGGGTTCGATCCCGGGTCTGGTCAAGTGGGATTTATGGTGGACAAAGTGGCGCTGAGGCAGGTGTTCTCCGAGTACTTCGGTTTCCCCTGCCAATCTTCATTCCACCAATTGCTCCACAATCACCCTCACCTATCATCTGGGCCTGGTATAATAGGCCAGAAGTGGCCGCAGTACAAGGGACTTAGTCCCACCCCACTAGCAACAAAAAAAAGTCAGTGTTTGCTTCATGAAGAGAATATTATGGAAAATATGTTTATGCCCAATATGCATTTCGTACGCCTTATGATTTTCGACTTAGTAATTACAAATTTTATCTCTGAACTCGATAACATCTGGTTTGATTTGATACAATTTAATATTCAATATTCTTGCAAAAATGTATGGAATAACCTGTAGTTTGAAGCAGATAAGAACAATATATGCGATATGTTTCATAATAGCTTAAAGGCTGAGCGAATGCAGGAAAATTTTTATACCGTCTTTATATATAATAATTACATTTATTTTTAGTGCTCGCCTCTTAACAGACTTCTGCTGTCTGCCGGCACAATTGGAAATATACTCGGATCTGCATAATAATAATAATAATAATAATAATAATAATAACAATAATAATAATAATTTGTTCTTTGAACAATTAATTCGAAAACCATCCCTTACTTCCACTTCATCTGTTCATTTCTCCGCAGTATCAATGTTCGAATTACCTCCAGGGTTGACTCTGTTCTGTATAATAGGCATACAATGGACTGTATCAGTTAACTTATGTTTTTGTTTAAGGGTCACCTACTTTAATTAGTCTTCCTGACAAATTAATATTTCCAATATTTCCATAATCCAAAGATGTCAGTCAAAGATACTACGTAAGATTACTAACGCCCCACGGTATGTTTCCAATATAACACTTCATGAAGACCTGAAAGTGCCGCTAGTAAAGAAAGTCATAAAAGGGAAAAGCAGAAGATACCTCAACAAAATAGCAGGACATGAGAACGTACTAATGCAACCGTTACTGGAACCACAGAATGGACGAAGACTAAAAAGGAATTGGCCAGCCAACCTGAGAGAGGGTTAACGAGGACTTATCTCTGGGTTAGCCCTCTCCACGTCACGAAGAATACTACAACTAATTAGCTTATAGAATCAAAGGTAATTCTGATTCCTAATTTTATGTAAATAATAAAAGAAAATAATATTTATGTGTAATTTTTTGGCCTTGTAGCAGACTGACACCAAATTTCACACATATGATATCTTTATTATTATTTATGAGAATAACCGTGTGTAGTTTTCACTCAGTTTAGTTAATTTCGAGGCTACTAATTATACTTTGGCGTGAATGTTTAAAGGACTCTAAGGAAACGAGAATTTCGACAGTTTTGTTAAAGGAGCACGTAATTCTTGCTATCCGCAACATTCATTTACATTAATTCGTCTTGAAGTATGCACTTCTTATGGATTTAATATATTTTGGGCATATCTGACCAAATATTAAGCTCAGGGAAAACAAGTTGTATGGATCAGTCGTTGTTTACATTCCCTACAGTACCGACAATACTTTGTAAGATGAGGTACCGATTAAATGATTAACATTAATATTACTACATCTACAACACGAGCCTCTAATACAATCTTATATACAAAAATAAAAAATATATATTCAAATTTGTCCATGGGAACGTACAGAATTACAAAACAAACGACTGATTCGATGTTATAAAACATCAATTAAAATTTTATTCTTGTTTTACAATATAACTTCTGTTTTATATAATCGGATTATTTGTATTTTATACGTCAAGTGTTTTATATGATTAATATTATTGTATCCAATTTAATAGTACTGCAGTTCAGTGGTGTGTATATGTTTAACCATGTATTTTCCTGATGATGGCTATTGATAGCCGAAACATGTAGCAGAACCGTAGCTGGGAATTGACTTTGATATTTTTTGTGTTGTGACGGTTAATAACGAGGTTGTAAATAAAATATTTGTATAAATGTAAGGAATTCGACACAAGAAGGGGTCAAAGGCCGGTAAATGGCTCTGGTGGGGTGCACTGATTTCAGAAGTTGCGCACCAATAAGTACCAGAACTGAGCCGGGGTAGCGTAGTCGGTATAGTGACTGCCTATGGGCTGGACGTCTAAAGGGCCGGAGTTTGAGTCCCGGTATGGTCAAGAATTTTCTCTTCCCCACATCGTCAAAACCTGTTCTGTGGCCCACCCAACATTCTATCCAATGCGTACCGGGGGCTCTTTCCCCGGGGGTAAAGCGACCGGGGCGTGAAGTTGACCACTCACCTCCAACCAGAGCCGAGGTGAAGAAAATGTGGTTCTATACATCCAGTCCACAATACGCCTTCATGGCTTAGTGCTTAATTAGTTAAGCACAAGAACAACTTTCGTTTACCAACTTTACGCCACATATTAAGCAGGGCCTTGCCGGAAAACCATAGCTTCTCCGCCTCGTGGTGACCTCTGGGCAACATTTTCTGGACTGATTTGCCTGTTGGATTATCATGATTTCAGCCAGAAAATCGTTCAAATTTCCATTAGTACCAGAATTAACTTTAAGGACAATTTCCCGTCTGTGAGATTTGAGGTTTTCACGGCGGTGACTATGATGAAAGAAGTCTTCTGGTATGTGGCGCCGTGTAGATATAGTGTTAACCGACGTTGTAACGTCGGTTAACACTATATCCACACGGCGCCACATACCAGAAGACTGCTTTCATCAATTTTCCGTCTCTCTTAATTTTCAGAAATGCTACCAGTATCCAAGAATCTACTCCCGGAAGTTGCAGTTGGAAGGAAGATTCACCTGTATTCAGCCTTGATGCTGCATGTCCATGGCTCGGGCTTCAACTCCGGGTTGCTCGAGAACACCGCAAAGAAGAAGAGCACTGGAGCAGGCACAGCCAGGACGAGGATCACAGAGGCGTAGCAAATTCGCATCGGGGTGCACAGAGCATCTGCGAAAGGAAACAGAGAACAACTAGTAAGACGTTCTGAAGTATTTTGATAATCACTTTTAATGTATAAGATATACTTACAGTGTCTAAATGACATTTTATGGTATTTAATAACATTAAAAATATTAAAATTACACTTATAGTGACAAATATATTTTAGGTGTCTTTTCTAATTAAAAAAAAACAGGGGCACGCGATAGCGTAGTTGGTTGAGGCACTACGCTACAAGCCGGCAGGTCGCGGGTTCATGTCCCGATGAGGTTATTGGATTTTTTTTTTCAATTGACCTAATCCTTCCAGCAGCACTATGGCCCTTGGGTCGACTCAACCAGTAACAGAAATTAGTAACAGGAATTTTCCTGGGGGGTAAAGTGCAGCCGTCGCGTAAGACTGACAATCTTACCGATATCTTTAAGCCGATTGTCTAGATAATGTGGGACCCTCGACGTCTCACAACCCTATGGGGCTTCACGGCCTGGTACAGGGATAGCTTTATCTTTCTTTCACATTAGACTTTCTTGTAATTAAGAATCACTGTTGCATTTTTGTCAGTGTACTCCCATAATATAGGGGTTGACACAGCCTCTAACAGAAATAAGTATCAGGAATATTCTTTGAATATTCTTGGGGTGAAGGGCGGCCGGCGCGTAGGGCTGACAACCTTGCCGCCATCTATGAGCCGATTGTCTAGAAAATGTGGGAACCTCAACATTTCACAACCTTATGAGCCTCCACGGCCTGTTACAGGGATACCTTTACTTACTTTTTGCTCCCATAATATATGAAGAATCGTAAGAACCTGCTTAGGTATGTAATTTAACATGCGAACACACTTGTGTCACAGCCCGAAACTTCAATACCACTTACACAAATCCTGTCATTGACCAACGTCCTGAGCCAATTCCATTCACATTCAATTTCTACAGTCATTTTTCTTGATATCCATATTAATGTCGTCTTCAAACCGCCTTTTTAATCTCCAAAACAGTCTTTTTCAATGAGGTACCCCAGTAAAATTGTTTTAGCATTTCTTTTTTCTCGATTCGGATATAGGTCCATTCAATCATAACGTCCAGTAATTCGCCACGCTAACAGCATTGAATGGACTGTGTAACCTACGAACCCGAGACCTCGAATATGACACTGAAATGCTAAAGACTCAACAGCAACATTTGCTCGGAGCTGAATTAAATACAGGCCTTTTTGTTATGTACCAATTTATTTTACAGTGAGCCTCTGTGGTCTAGTGGTCAGCGTTTCTGGCTATAGATCCAGAGGCCCCGGGTTTTATTCCCAGTGCTACCAGATTTTTCTCAGAAGTAGTGGGTCTGGAACGGGGTCCACTCAGCCTCGTGATGATAATTGAGGAAATATTTCAAGGAAATAGTATCTCCGGTCTAGAAAACCGAAATTAACGGCCGTGGGGATTCGTTGCCCTGACCACACGACATCCTCTGTCCGCTAAAGTTAGCATTAAACTTCGCCGACAAGCGGCGGTCGTTCGGTCGCCATAGTTCTCTTGTGGACTACAAGCCAGGGAGTCGTTTTTTGTTTTGATACGTTAATTCGGATCGAGATACATTTGTAACTGAGCTTACTGATGTCACAGCGAAGTGACATGACGCTGAATCCATTGCAGTTCGCATGATAATGTATACTTCCGACTGCACATGTCTAAATCGAACAAAATGAGACAGAGTTTTGGAGAGAAGGAGGAACAAACATCTCCAGACACATAATAACATGGGTAGCACAGTACAATTATGCGTGTACATACCAGTCCGCGGTATTTTAAGCAGTTTCTCCTTGTCTCGGGGAGCTTCATAATGTGCCGAGAGTTCTTTCTCGTATCCCTCTTGAATGATAACAGTCTTCTGTAACTTCATACTGCAAAATCTGTAACAAATACCACATGCTTTCTAAGTGTCAGTTCTAGATATTTTATATGTACACCCATTGCTAGGCAACGTGTTCGTAAATGAGTTCCCGCCAAGACAGATTCTTGATAAACCGTCCGTTGGTTGGAGGCTGTGTTTTCTGTCTTCCTCGCCAAGCAAGAGTAGAACGGTGTTATGCAATCCGTTTCTAAGCAATTATAAACACGTCTACAATAATAGGTGTTTTCCGTGGTGTCTGTGCAGAATGCTTACGAGAGAAGTAAATTTAGATGCCAGTTCTGGAACTCATTGGCGGTAAACCGCCAGTCATAAAGTCACTTTTACTTTTGTTAAGTCAGTTCACCCGTGTGGTGGCCTCGTCGATTACATCCACCGTGACCCTGCGAGTTCTAGGAGGCGACGGAAAGGGAATGGTAGTGAGTCCCAAGGGACTCGGACCCGAGAAAGAATGCACTGAGAAGGGCCAGCAGCATATACAAAAGACAGACCCGTCCTCCCTTCAGAGAGGGTGTCCCAGAAAAACAATACCGTAACTGTCAAACAGTAATAAAAATCTGGTCATGAGCCCCACATGAGGCTCGACATCAAGGCTTGCTGACTGCCTGACCGTCAGTCGCAATGTGACTTCGACTTCGATGTCAGTTCTGTTGAGGGCAGTTATGAGGGAATATCAGCAGCAGAAGCACACGAATAAGCAAGCAAGGAGATAGCTACGGGAAGTTCGTAGATGAAGAACCAGAAGTCGGCCTATGAAGACTTAGCGTGTGATTAAAAGATTATTTATGTGTAACATTTGGAGTGTGTGATTCAGTGAGTCTGTTTGAGTTCCCGTGTCATAAACCCGTGAGAACTAGTGCAGACAGACTGAAGAGATTAGTGCGGCGTGATTGTAAATTGTGTAAAGCAGCACTAGTGCAATAATTGATTGTAGGTACGATTAATATCTATCTATGGCTCTAGAACCATTTGTTGGATCTTGTCCGCTTTTCTTTTTCGTGATCTATGCACAGTAGATAAATCCCTATACTGGGGATCAGCCCGTCGCAAGGCCTCTACCTATATACAGAACACACAAACAGAATAAACACACACACAAATCCATGCCCGAGTGGGACTCGAACCCACGACCCTAGTGTTCGAGCGGACGATGCTTTTTCATGCCTCAGACCGCGCGGCTACTGTGATCGATAGTTACGACTGGTAAGTATCCAATTACCAAATTAAACCGCTGTCTTAGTCACTGTGACACGTGACAGTATATTCATGCATCAGCACACGAAGCCATGAAGTATACAGTTGCCATATGGTTACTAATTTCAGAAACGAGGCAGAAAAAATTATCTTCTCCAAACGTACAGCACGCGGTAGCTCAATTGGTTGAGGGGCTATGCTACAAGCCGGAAGGTCCCGGGTTCAAGTTCCGATGAGGTCATTGAATTTTTTTCAATTGACCTAATCCTTCCAGCCGCACTATGGCCCTGGGGTTGATTCATCCTCGAACAGAAACGAGTACCAGGAGTTAATTAAATAATTTTCCTGGGGAGTAAAGCGCGGCCAGCGCGTAAGGCTGACAACCTTACCGCCATCTTTGAGCCGATTGTCTAGAAAATGTGGGACCCTCAACGTCTCACAACCCTATGGGCCTTCACAGCCTGTTACACGGATAGCTTTACTTACTTTACTTCAACCTACAGCAATTGTGACATGGTTACTCAGTTAAGCAGAGAATTACGTGTGTAATTCTAATGCTAATAATGAATATACCGTTGTGTAGCCTCACGCTTGCGCACCTCCAATAATTGTTTAACTCTTATTCAATTTAAGAAGACACAAATGAATACCGTCTCTTGTAGTCTCATGCTTCCACAACTGCATCAATTGTCAGATTGTTGTTAAATTTAATGATGGTTGGTTGGTTTCTCTTGTCGTACTCTGAACATTAAGTCATTTGCGTATTTAACCTCAGGTAGCTGGCGTAAGTGTAACACATTTTCTATTCTGACACCACTTGGGCGAGTTGGTCGGGTCATCCTGATCTTCAGACCATCTGGGTTGCGCGCGATTTTAAGTTATTTCCACTCTTGTCGGCCAGAGGTCTCAGTAGTCGTGTGACCACGCCGACATCTAGAAGCCGAGTGGGGAACTTTGTGGGCGACCGAAAATGGCATCCAGTTTTTGCCTTCCGCTGACTTCTGGGTGGTGGGTGAGAAGAAATGAGAAGTATTGCAAGAAGTAGCGGGCCAGTGGTTGCAGTAGCATTGTGGAAGAGAGGGAATGTGACGCGGTGTGACTAAGGACTCTGTACGGGATCAAATATTTTGCACAGTATTCAGTGCTGTGCAGTCATTCTGACAATGAAGAGAGCTGATTGACATATTGTGCAACAGTTGCACTAGAGGCTGCGCCATAGCTCAAGCGGTTAGTCGCTGGCCTCCCACCGCGGCGGCCCCGGTTCCATCCTGGGTCTGGTCAAGTGGGATTTGTGGTGGACAAAGTGGCACTGGGGCGAGTTTTCTCCGAGTACTTCGGTTTCCCCTGCCAATCTTCATTCCACCAATTGCTCCATCATCATAATCACCCGGGGCAGGCTACAATAGGCCAATCAGTGGCCGCCGTGCCGAGTGGACCCAGTTGGATTCCACAAAGTTGCATAAAATCTACTGTCTTAAGTTTTTAGAGCAGCAAATAGCGTTTCACAAAAAGTTGTATTGAAGCCCTTATTTTAGTTACTGGATTCGACCACATTCACTGCCCGTGACGTTGATAGCAGCCAGGTCTGGAGACACGGAGAGCACGTACCAAAGCGGTTGGAGGAGCTTGGTAACACTCTCGATGCCGTGCGGTTAAAGGGTGTCATGACGCTTGTTTGATTAAGCAGTGAGCTTTATGCTCATTCTATACGAGATATATGTTACATGAATTCTCTGTGGAAACCAGCAAATTTTATTCCTGTGCTTTTATGGCATCTAAGTATTTGGAAGGAGATTTACAAAATCTTCATTAATCCTGAACTTTCTTGGAGACCTATAAAAATAACTCAGATAAGCACAACTGTTTACAAATTGACGCGTGCAGGTTAACAAAGATTTTATACGTACATACAATTGGAAAGAATGGTGATTTTAAATTTTAAACTACGGGCAGTGTAGCAGCTACGTAGGAATACACACCTAATGATGGCCATTTAGGGCCGAAACATGTAGTGTGGAGGAAGGGAAGAAGAAAGAACTACAATTAAATTGTTGCACTTAAGACGGAGTTTGTCTCATATATAAAGCACAACTGTATTTAAGGCTTTAAGTAAGATCGTGCTTAAAATTAAGTAAACCAAAATCCAAATTAGCGAACAGAATGTATTTGCTATCTACATCCTGTTTTTAATAAAAATTGTTCAATGCTTTGGCGCCGTTTCCTGCGAATGGATATGTGGGAGGTTACGACGAAATGGATGAGTTTCCGTATTCCTTTCCAAAAGGCGCAAAACGTCTAGCTAGTGTCTTATTTGCTAAGGCGATTTGATAGTCGCGAAATCGGGAGACATTTAGCTCTGCACGGTTGGCATTTGGTCTTTCCATTCTTGCAACTTATTCACTACATTTCTAGAACAAAACGTGAAACCTCTGCACCAGATTGCAGTAAACATATTTCCCAGACACGTCAGTTCAGATTATAGACTGTCCTTGATGTTCATCAACTGATGGTCTAAATCTTGTAGCGAGAGAGATAAAATTAGTATGATCTTATCTCTAAATATATAATCTGATTAAAGAAAGTCCCCTTCTCTGTTACCAGCCAAGTATCATGTACTAGATAAGTCTTAATTGGGCGCGGTTTATAGGATAGCTTCCTGGACTAGTTTTGACTCCATGCTGCAAGAATCTTCTCTGTCTTTTGGTTTCCAAATCCGGTCACAATTTGTGTGTGTCGATCGCATTTCCTTTCATCGGCTTCTCAATAGCACGTACCAAAAATAAGTTTCCCTTTTAGTTAAATGGACACAACTGTAGTTTTAAAAAGAAGTTCTGGGAAGAAGTAATAGCCTACTTTCCATTCACTGTAGCTTGTGTGTCTGATACGAGAGGAGGAGAGAAAATTTCAATGTGTATGCGTAATTAAAACAATACAGTTTTGAAGGCTTCTATGTTGGTATTACTGATAGGAATTACTTATGAAGTACACCATTTAGATTTACTGATATGACGATATACATGCCAAGTTCCATGAATAATGATTCAGTAAAAGTCTATGCCTTAAGTGGGATTCGAACAAACGATCCCAGCGTCCGAGCGAGCGAAGACAGAAGCATTAGACCGTGCGGCTACTGTGACCGACTAACAAAATGTAGTAACTATAATGAGCATAATTAAAAGGTTTATTTTTTTTTTATCCTTGGCACTACAGCCCCAGTGGCCCTAGGCCTACCTCCATGAACTCCGTTCACTTCGGTTTTTCTAGATCTTACACATTCGGTAGGACTCCTTGGGCGGGTGATCAGCTCGTCGCAAGGCTTCTTCTTCTTCTTCTATGGCGCAACAGCCCGATGTCGGGCCTTGGCCTCCCTTATCAAGCCCCTCCATTCCTCTCTATCCTGCGTTGCTCTCTTCCAGTTCCTTACGCCCATTAACTTCTTTGCATCTTCTTCCACCGCATCAATCCATCTAGTTCTTGCTTGAATAATTTCTTGCATATGAGTAGGCCTATACAGGGCATAAAGGTAAAGTTGTCCCTGTGCTTAACTCATGAAGCACTATGCTATGAAGGCGTATGAGGGAGTGTATTTGTAGATCCATATTTTCTTGAGCTCGGCACTAGTTGGAGGTGAGTGGTCAGCTTCACGCCTCGGCAGCTTTACCCCCTGAAAAAGCCCCCAGTACCCATTGTATAGGAGGTTGGGTCTACCCCAGTGCCGGTCTGCACGACGTGGAGAAATGAAAATTCTTAACACTACTGGGACTCGAACTCCGACACCTCGGTCGTCCAGCCCGTAGTCAGTCGCAATACCGACTGCGCCATCCCGGATCTTATACAGGACATACGAGCATAAATATATTTTGTACCTTTCACACTCTAAATGTAGATTTTTGAACTGTCAATTTCATATTTAAACTGTACCTTAGTTCCTGACAAAAGATGCCTGGTGCTTCGTAGTCCCTCGTTCAGGGCTTCAAAACAGATGAGACATTGCAATTTCACTGCATTCACTCTGATACTTTGCTGACAAGCTATAACTTATCAGTTCCTCTGTTAAAATCCACTCTGATAACAGCTACCAATATGTTTCATAGGACAGAGAACAAATAAGATGAGTAGAGATAACGAAAGCAGAAGTATTTTTTTTATTGCCAGTGGGGGGGGGGACTAAGTCCCTTGTACTGCGGTCACTACCGACCTATTGTACCAGCCCCAGGTGATAGGTGAGGGTGATTGTGGAGCAATTGGTGGAATGAAGATTGGCAGGGGAAACCGAAGCACTCGGAGAAAACCTGCCCCAGCGCCACTTTGTCCACCATAAATCCCAATTGACCAGACCCAGGATCGAACCCGGGCCGCAGCGGTGTGAAGCCAGCGACTAACCGCCTGAGCTATGGCGCGGCCAAAGCAGAGATAACTGTGACAATGTTCAGATAGTTCATAGAAAATATCTTTCCTTTCAATTGAAAGCATCATGGTCAATTGCTTTAAGGTCTGAACTTGGTTTACTCAGACATACGAAATAGGAATCCACCTACTTATTGTGGATAATTTAATGACGCTTTCGGTATCGAGACTATTTAACGTCAGATGGTAGGATGACTGATGAATTGGAAAGCATTTTTAAGGACTTGTTCATGGCTTATTTATCCCGGAATTTGCCTGGAGATACTGAGGAAATCCTGTCAGAACTGCCAATGTACAGACTTGAATTCGAACCGAGTACTTGCCAAATACAAATCTAAATTTGTTCGCTAGGATTATACTTCATTTTTATGCTAGAAACTGCTCTCGACTATTACATCCTATAGCATAAATAAACTTAGGATTAAATTCCATCAAGTGTAGTAATGTTTTAATAACAGAATAAAGCTACTAGTGTTTTAACCCTTTCCTTTGAAATATTTGTCACCTTCCGATGATGGCCGTCATTGACCGAAACATGTATACGTTTAATTTCTTAATTAAAAAGCATTTTTTAATTTAGTCATAATTTTGCTTATCCTACTTCATGTTTGTGATTTCTAACTCCTAAACTCAGTGTTTGTTATCCTATCACAGTTTTCTCGATTTACCTATGGTTCCTTGAGTAAAGAGTTGCCAAGTATTTTGTAAGGGCTTCTCACTCGTGTCGGGAAAGAGCAGGTAGTATAGATACCACCTAAGGGCGCATTCCATAAACCATCTTCGACTTTGTTGAGTTCTTTGTGCAATATATGCTTGCTGAATAATGTTACTTGGACAGTAGTGTGTCTGGAAAGTATTTTAAAAAATAACCAGTACAGTCGAAGGGTGGAATAGTATTTAACTCTTTGACTGGCGTGGGCGTGTTTTAACGCCCGGACGATGCCAGCCATTCCCTGGCGTTGGCGTCTTTTAGCGCTTTGACAATCTCTTCCCTTCTTTGCTCTCTTGGCACTCATCAACCAAAGACATATATATGCATATTTTGTGCATGTTTGTAAAAAACCCTTGAAAACTTTATGGGGGTGTCTATATTACTGTCAGAACCCTCTGAGAAGGAAAAGGTCAGAAAATATTTCACATTCATTCAGTTTCACCATGGCTTCTCGCAGCAAGTGTTGGCGTGTTCCTACAGACCAGCTGGAAAGTGTTGTGAACGAGATTTGTGCTGATGATGATAGTGGCGATGAAATAATGATTCCTGAATTAGATGAAGTTGATAGTGACAATAATACAGTGATAGACATTGATCCACAAGACAGTAATCATGAACATTTAGCCAACCCGAGTGCGGTGCNACTCTTGAGAACACAATTACAAATATGTCACACCAGATGAAATCTGGACATACTGAGGAATTGTGTTCATGACAGGAATCGACAAACGCCCTGAAATTGAAGAATATTGGTCCACAAGGCCCCTATTTCACACTCCATGGTATGGACAAAACATGTCTTTGCGGTTGAATAGTTTCATTCTATTCAAAAAGAACACAACAAACGAAAAATACAAGAAGAGAAATTACAAATTCAAAGATTTTATATTGGACTGTGTAGAAAAATGACTGAACCATACAAACAGTGTGGAGAGGGAGAAGAGTCAAGGAATGAAGTGGATGACGAATCTATTGCGTCAGACTCGAGTGCAGTCACGCCTCCGCCCTCGATCTTGAAAAGACCACCTGTGAAAGAGCCAGTAAATCGTCTAGAGGGTGGCCTGAAAATTCACAAAATGGTCCATGTTTCTCCCAGTAACAAGAAGAATGGTGCCATGATAAAGTGTCGCGTGTGTGCTAAGCACAAGATTAGAAAAGAAACAAGTGTCATGTGTGCAGGCTGTGGTGTGGCTCTCTGCAAACTTTCATGTTTCAATGTTTATCACATGAAGAAAAACTACTAAAGAGGTATGGAAAGACATTTATTGCATAAAATATTGTCTTTTTATTAGTTCCTAAAAATTTCGTTTTTAAAAACCAATTTTTGTTGAAGTTGTTTGGAAAAAAGTAACTACATGCATTTTAGCGACATAAGGTTTAAAGGGCCTGCCAGGACAGGGGTGGGATTTAAATACCCTTCGCGCCAGTCAAAGAGTTAACACACAGAGCTAGATATACGATGAATCATTTTGTACAAGAAATCGGAAAGTCCGCAGATACACTGTCCAAATCTTGAAAATTAAGCACTTTCCATTACACCAGTATCTGAATGGTAAAGACTGTGCTGTCATATTTACTGATTTACTGTGAGTCATCGGTCCAAAATATCAAGGAATTCGTTTTTCCCGGCAGGTATATACGATCAAAGATGGCGGCTGATGCGAAGGTAGCCCCCAATAGTGGGAAATAACGAGTAAATATCCCGCTTCAACGGGAGATGTTTTTAGAAGTACTGTCTTGTTGCTTGTGTCGCCACTGTTCCCGCGCTTTGTCTCGAAATAGGATGTTGTCTTATATAAAGGAAAGTGGAATGTTTATTGTTGTGTGTAATGTAATCGAGTACTAAACTCACCGTAAGATCTCACAATTAAAATATGGTAATTTTTACTGATTTTATTTGAAACCTGTGAGTGTAAATGTCCCATTGTGGAATAGGTTTAGAATACGTCCACCGTAGCCCTGCGTTTCGTAGAAGGTGTCGAGAAGGGAACCCGGTGCCCGAGTCTAATTGGGCCACGATGTCACTGGGGATATAAATACAGGACCTGTTCCTCCAGGTTGGGGGTTGGACGCAAGGCTGACGATCTTGCTCTGTGAAAAAGTTATTGTGACATCCAAAGAAGTGGAATCCAGAAAAAATTTAACAGAATCTTCCAAGGCTAATGCTGAGAAAATGTTTTGCCAGTGATGATGACAGTGATAACTGTAAAAGTTTAGTTTCAGTTTATTTTTCATCCTACCAGGAATTCCTGTTCTTAGGTTCATAACCTAAGTGTAGTAAGCTGTCTTATGACATCTCAAGAGACTCTGTGCCTGGTCTTTCTCACAGATGATATTATATGTACAGTTGGTCACTCTCAGTAGTTCATAACTACCACAATTATTCATTAATAATAGTACCATGTTCTTAAGTATTTCAGCTATAGTGACTGAAATTGTCGAAATTAGTTAATTAGGCAAGGTTAGGTGAATTTTCTCAATACTTTATTATACTCGTACATGTGTCGGATTGTTTGTGTCTGGTTGTAAATAGAACTTAATTAGTGGTAGGATAGCATATTTGACAAGTACCAATATATTTTGGTAAGCTGTGCTATGGCGTGCCATGCTTTGCTAGTCTGATTTCCCTTGGATTATCCATCATGAATTTAAGCCAATAGTGGTTGAAACCGTATGCATTTTAATTTCTTAACTCTCTGCAGTTACAGTATTTAAAAGTTCTTGTTCTCCCCTGAGGAGTAATGTTAAATGTTTGTCTTGTATATGACAGATTAATAAAATCATGTATGATTGCTTCCAGATGTCAGAGGAGAAGCTGGTTCCTCCAGAGGAGTTCCCTTTCCCATTCAAACCATATTCAATTCAGCTGGATTTCATGAAGCACCTGTACAAAACTCTAGAGGAGGGGAAATTGGGGATTTTTGAGAGTCCCACAGGAACAGTTGAGTACTCTTATTTATGGATTAATTTTGTAGATCTCTTTCCTGTAACCCCTGTGTATGGCTATTAGGAAATGAAAGAAAATGTAAAATTGCAGTGTCACATATTCAGAATACATTGACAGGTGTATTTAAGATGTTGTTGTTCTGAAATGGTGACATAGAGTGCTTACATAGTAGGAAGATTGTCAGTGTTCCAAAAGAGGCATGTAGATGGTAGTACATGAATTGTGGAACATGAATTTATTTATCTTTAGTATCATACTGAAACCCTAACTGATGTAGTAACCTAACCTCTTCTGGAGTGCCTTCAGTTTTCAGGGCATATAACTGTATCACCTTTTAGTGTTTGGAATACACCAGCCTCTAGGCATTAAGTTCTGCTCTGCCTCACCAAGTCCAAACCAACAGGAGCTGGTACGAGTATTATGTTTTTGGACATTATCCATCGACTTGTCTATATCTAAAAACTGTTCTGTTTATTTTTCAAAACACAACATTTCAGAGACTGGATTCTGTCTCTGTATTCAGGTAAAAGGTACTCTTTTGGGCCCAATAGAGCTAGTCCCTAATTATTTTTTTTTAATTCGCTTAGTGGGGGGTGGAGTCCAACTGGGTTCACTTGGCACGGCGGCCACTGATCAGCCTATTGTAGCCTGCTCCGGGTGATTATGATGATGGAGAATTTGGTGGAATGAAGATTGGGAAGGGAAACCGAAGTACTTGGAGAAAACCCACCCCAGTGCCACTTTGCCCACCACAAATCCCACTTGACCAGACCCGGGATCGAACCCAGGCCGCCGCAATGGGAAGCCAGCAACTAACCACTTGAGCTATGGCATAGCCATTAGAGCTAGTCCCTATCTCCGGACCAACAGGAGCTGGTATTACAAAAACAGTACACCATAGTATAGGAACAAAAACTGTTTCCATATTCTGAACGTAAGCTGAATTGCAGATTTTATTACAGAAATTTCTCAGTACTTGCACTGCATCATTTGCTGTTTATATGACAAATTCTTATAGATATGGGTAACACATTCTCTACCAGTTGTTTAAATGCTCAGCTTAACCTTTTTTAAAATCCTAAGTAGATTTAACCCTTTCACTGCTAGTATGTTAAGTAACTCTCAGTGCCCTCTGTGCTGAATTATTTTTGAGTAAATCTTTTATAACTAATTAAGTGCAAAGTATGAAAATTTGTGATAAAATGTAACTAATTTTACCTCAGACAGGGAACAGGCATCAGAAGCTGCAAAAATTTTAAATTATTCAGTATTTTTCACAGGGGAAAGGTCCATTTAAATCAGAGTTGTCCAAGATGGCCAAAAATGTACATAATTCACTATTCTAGTCTTATCACTATGTCACATGTTGACCAAAGTCCACAACTTTAATAAAACTATTATAGAAAGCACTACGTTCTATACGAAGCCATTTTTACTAGCCCTGTGAAATACCCTCTTCAAATGACCACAGAGTGCATGCCTCACTGTGCAGATGCAACCTTTTACATTCCTTAAGCTAGAAGGCAGAAGAATGCAGCTATTGAAATAAATGATGCTTCATTACGTTCCCAATAGATGACTCTACGCACCTGCCAAGTTTGAATGAGATTCGTGCAAAGAAACCTGAGATTTGAGATTCTAAATTCGCAATATGGTTTTTGTCGATCGCAGCAAGGATGCTATGTTTTTCAGAGATCGATATATGTCGACCGCAGCAGTGTAAAGGTTAAAGCATTCACTGAGCAGTTTAAATTCAAATAGTGTTATTAAGGAAGATGATGGTGAGGTTCTTGATCAACAAGAGTAAGCCCCATGTTTATAGCCCCAGCAGTTTGTGTTTTACATCTGTTTCAGTTCTGTAACATTTGTTTTTTGCAAAGAGTTCTTTTTCCCCCACCTCACATATAATGCCCTCATAATATGGGTTAAGAATGATCTTGTATTTATAGAACATACTCTCAGAAAGTGCCATGTTAACTCTTTGTTACATAACAGAATACCAAGAGCACTGGAAGGAAATAGAACAGAATGAATATATGTATCAGATTATTTATTATTTTTTTTATTGCTAGTGGGGTGGGACTAAATCCCATGTACTATGGGCACTTCTGGCCTATTGTACCAGCCCCAGATGATAGGTGAGGGTGATTGTGGAGCAGTTGGTGGAATGAAGATTGGCAGAGGAAACCGAAGTACTCAGAGAAAACCTGCCCCAGCGCCACTTTGTCCACCACAAATCCCACTTGACCAGACCTGGGATTGAACCCGGGCCACCATGGTGGGAAGCCAGCGACTAACCGCTTTAGCTATGGCGCGGCCATCAGATTATTTAAGTCTGACATCATGTCACATTGTAGGTATAACAAGCACATCTAAAATCCAAAATAGCAGCATTATGCCCCAGAGAGTAAAATTTTGTGACAGTGGTCTGTTCATTACTGTAACATTATGTCCAGCCATTATCCATTGTCTGGGACATGTTTCAAACACACAGTGTTTCTCTCACCCTTCCTGTATTTAACAAAAGAAAGGATGAATGTGGAATACCTCTAATATTATAAGTAGTAATAATTAATATTAGTCTTCTGGGTTGTGAAGCTGAATAGTTTGGTAGAAGTGTATAACTTTTTTAGGAATCTGATGCCTCCATTTTCAGGGCAGATCACTCTTCTTCCCTGAAAATACAGGCACACAGGTTCCTCTCTAGTGTTGGTACCTTTTCATGAAACTAGACAGCATCACATTCCAGAAGACCATAATCTTCGTACTCACAGCAGTGAGAACCTCGGATCTGATGTGAATAAGTAATAATAAATTCCAGGGCAAGTCTCTGAGCTTAATATGTGGTGCACTTTGCTGGCTGCGAGACCATGAGGAGAGGAAACGACGGCAGCTCAAAGCAGCCATTGCTCAGTTGGATCTTATGAAGACTTGTGATGGTGATAGTGAAATAGATTGGTTAACCCAGCAGATACAGCAGTCACAAGTGTTGCAACAGCGGCAGCAGTTGCAGCAGCAACTGAACAAGATTCTGTGTAATGACGAGAAACTGGAACAGCTGCGCAAGCGTAAAGTGAAGGTGTGTCTAATTAGCATAAAACAAGCTATGAGACTTTTAAAATTATATGCTAAATGTTTGTGACAATACTGCAAATCACTGGAACATTATTTCTTTATTGAATTTTTTTTTATGCTTTAGGAGCCGCAGTACTATTTACAGTACTTTTCCTTAGGCCGGATGTTTTAACATGTGGGAAATAAATGCACTTAGACCAGTTATTGCTCCATTGTGCGTCCCCCTTTAATTTCTACTGTTGCCATACCCTACTGGTATTGGTGCGTGCTATCAGCCCTGTTCAGCCAACGAGGTCGGCCCTCGGTACTTGATATTTCCCCCATCTACCAGAGGCATTGGAAACTACTTGGGCAGGAAACTTGTTGCCTAATTTTGCTCAGAGGTCTCCTAGAAACATGAGGATCTTTTACGTGCCATAAATCTACGACACGGGACCCATGGCTTAAAGTCCCTCCCGGAGGACTTGTTCCCTGAAATTTCCGCCCTTAAAAATTCCATGACCTCCGCCGGGTTTGAACCTGCGTACCTTGAGTCATGAGGTGGGAACGTTATCCCTAGACTACGGAGGCTGCTAAGTCATCAGGTTAATTTCATTTTAGTTGCTCAACTATGGCAACACAAGGACATATTATTTAAAATTTACCAAATGAACTTAACAGTTGAAACTTTTTGAAAATAGTATTTCCTTCCTTAGTCCATTCTACTCTCTTCTTCTTCCTTGCTCTTCCCAACCATCTTTCCAGCTGTTCTGTAATCATCTAAAATGTTATCAAGGAACTCACATTCAAATATGTATTAGAGAATCACATGAAATCACCTACATGTCCACTTTAAAAATGAAATTTATGAAATAATATTCAGTGTGAGATTTTTTGCAACATAAAACACAGTTCATGTAAGAAGTTAACCTAACACAAATGTTCATATTGTGTCATATACACCCATCTCTAGGCAATGACCATGAAATAAGCAACTGTACAACAGCCATTTCTAAGTAGCACATCTCTCTCTCTCTCCCTTTTCCCCCACCTCTCTCTCTATGCGCTTCTACATTACCGGCTCCTGCTCTATTTGTGGTTTCTTTTTCCATTTCTTAAGGATTTCTTGGTTTTGCTGAATACTTGTAACTTGTAACTACATATTATTATAACAGTGTGGGTAATTCACACACACTATGAATCAAGACAGCACATGCTAAGTCTTCTCATTTGTCTTCACTTGCCATTGCCTGGTAACAGTGTCCTCTTCTGCTCACATCATTGTTGGCCTTTGACCATCTCACACCTGACACTGACTATGACTAGGCTGCTGGCCTAATTATGTAACTTTGGTGGAGACCATGTAGAAAACACAGTCTCCAACAGTTCTTCTATTGTTCTGTGTTTACTGTGCCATTGCCTAGTGATGGATGACATTTCATGTTAAACTATTTGGTTATGTCACTATAAATTTCATTATTAAACAAACAAACAAAAAACAAACTCTGTGATTTTAGTCTGCAAGTGAACTATACCGACCAAGCGACTGCCGCTTGTCGGCGAAGTTTATTATTTCCAAGTTTAATTCTGACCACCAGTACTATAGTGGTGTGAGATTTAAATCAAGACACTGTAGGTAAAACAAAAAAAAGAAGGAAATATTTATACTTTGCCTGCATTTCCTGATTTCTTAATCAGAAGGCTGAAGTCTGTCTCTGTTGTAGAAACTGGAACGACCATCAGAGAAATATACAGAAGCAGCAAAACAGAGGGATTTGAACACTGAAACACCTGTCACTGGCACTGATCCTGAGGCTGATGATGCTGATATCTTGCTGGAGGAATGTCTTGAGTCAGACACCACAGAAGACTCTGATCCGGAGCCAGAAGAACAAGAAGACGAAGAAAGCAAAGAGTATGGAGATATAAAGGTAATGTTATCTGCTTCATATATGTAGATTTTCATTAATAAACATCACACCTGCAAATAGGCATGCATCAGGAACCCCAGAATTTGAGGATTTGGTGACTGATGGTCCTGCTGCTTGCCACTTTCAGTGATTTCATTGTGTTTTGAGAGGAACGGTGAATTATGTAAGATTTCATTGTTTCATAGTGAATAAGTGTACTAAAATATTTGCAGGCAATCAGCCATGCCAATGTTGAGTTCAAAACCAAAGATTCATAATCAGGGTCAATGATAGAGATGGGCGAGATTTCTGAAACATTGGTTTTTAACTTAATAATGAAACAGCTGGTTGTCTTAAGAAGATTTTAGTACAGGAATAGTGAATGTCTGTGGTGATGCAGGCTGCCTTAAATATTTTTTAACATTATTTCTTTGGTCTTTGCCCATCATCTAATCTGAACAATGCAAGACATGAGGCTAGTAGGCATTACAGAAACAAAAAGATAGAATATCTCAAGGACAAAATTAATGGGCATGGGCACACAGTAAGAATAAGAACCTTATTGATTTATATAAAGGATTAAATGAATCTAAGTAGGCTTACCAGCCTAAAATAACATAGTAGAGGATGAGACTGGTGATCTGCTTGCAGATTTCTACAGCATTTTGAATAATTAACTAAACTAACTCCATGGAGCTGAGCACTTCATGAGAAGCTGCCAGTTGTGCAACTACACAAGAAGTTCCCAACATTTTATGGAACCCAAAGGTTAATTTCCATGATCACAAGAGCCCTCCACCAGTCCCTATCCTGAGCCAGATCAATCCAGCCCATTCCACCTAATCTTATGTCTCTAAGATCCATTTTAGTGTTATCCAACCACCTACTTCTTGGTCTTTGTAATGGTCTCTTTCTTTCTGGCTTTTCCACGAATATCCTGTGTGAATTCCTATTGTCCACATTTGTACTGCATGCCTTGCCCATCTCATGCTCCTGGATTGATCACCTTAATTATGTATGGGTAAGAGCACAAGTTATGAAACTCTTCATTTTTCAGTTTTCTCTGGCCTCTGTCACTTCGTCCCTCTTCAGTCCAAAGACTCCCCTCCGCACCCTGTTCTCCAACATCTTTAGTCTATGTTTCAATGTCACAGACAAAGATTCACACCCATACAGGACCACAGGCAAAATTATAGTTTTGTGTACTCTGATTTTTACGTTTTGAGGCAGCAGGTGAGAAGAGAAAAGGTTCTGGACTGAATGGTAGCAAGTATTACCCTAATTCATTCTCTTTGTAATTTACTCCTGAATCAGATTTTGATGTGTTACTGTCGTTCCCAAATACATTTTGACTGTGCACATTTTCAAACAGCATTTTGAATAGGTAGAAGAATTATTTCTCCAACCTGTTGAATATATGTAGGATTAGTGAAGTTAGAAAGATGGAAATACAACTGAGGCAATTCTGGCAAATACAATTCAAGCGGGAGATGAAACACCATATTCTGAGATCCATAAACTCATTAATTTTATTCCATTTGAGATAAGGAACAGATACCTAAACAATGGAAGGAGCCTGTTGTTGTACCAACTTACAAGAAGGATGATACAACTGATTCCAATAATTGTCAAGGCATATCACTGTTATCAGCTTCATATAAAAGTGTACCCAGTATCTTTCACTCGAGGTTAAGTCAATACGTAAATTAAATTTTTTGGGAACACCGTTTTGGGTTCTGACATAATGGATCAAACGGTGATCAGATTTTTGCGCTCACCAGAAACTGAAGAAAAAATTGTAGTACAATGAAAGAGAAGATCAGCTATTCACAGACATCAAGAAATCCTATGATTCAGGTAGGAGGGAAGTATTGTACAGTTTACTCACAGAGTTTGGGGAACCCATGAAACTAGTTAGACTGATTAAAATGTGTTTAAATGAAACGTATAGTAAATTCCATATAGGTGAATAGTTATCTAATATGCTTCTTATTCAAAATAGCCTAAAACAAGGAGATGTTTTGTGGCCATTGCTTTTTAATTTTCCTTTAGAATATGTCAGTAGGAAGATCCAGGAAAACCAGGTGGGACTGAAACTAAAAGGGACACATCAGCAGCTGGTCTATGCTGAAGATGTAAATCTGTTGGCAGATAATATAAATACTGTAAAGAAAACACAGAAGCCCTAATTGATGCTAATAATGAGGTTGGTCTAGAAGTAAACATAGAAGAAACTAAGTATGTTGTATGTAGACCCATTGCTAAGTAATGGCTCTGTAAACAGCCGCCGTTGCTAGGTAATGGCCACAGCAGATTCCTACCATGCACCAATGGACTAACTGGGAAATCTTGTTCTCTATGTGGCCCATACTACAGTTACATGATGCAACAATAGAAGAGCTGTTGGGAGAAGTGTTTTCTGTGCGGTCCCTGCCAAGATGTTATAAGCAGGACAAGTCTAGAGTTTAGTTGTCAGACAGTCGCCAGCAGGTAGGGACTTGAACAAGGAAGTTCAGGGATCTATGGCATTGGAAGCCATTACCAGACGACTGATGAAGAGACAGTAGACTGAGAGAACTGCTAAGAGTGTGATTTAGTGATAGCGCTGTAGTTACTTGTAGTTATGATCTGTAAGTATTCAATGAATCCAATTACCAATCCAAACCTCATCTATAGTCCTCATACATGTGACAATATGTTGATGTCTCATCACCAGACTGCAAGGGAAGATTGTAACGCAAAGAGAGTTAATAGATCCTTTGAACATTTGGCTGAGTTCAGATTTTTGGGAATGACAGTTAAGATATCAAAATTTGGTTTTTGAGGGACTTAAGAGCAGATCATATTCAGGTAAAGCTTACTACCATTCAGTCAGTTCAGAACGTGTACTCTTCGCCAGTTATAATCAGAATGATCAAGCCAAAGAGGGTGAGATTGACAGGGCATGTAGCATGCATAGGGAGAAGAGGAATGCATATAGGATTTTGGTGGGAAAGCTAGAAGGAATGATACCACTAGGAAGACATATCAATAGGCAGGAAACTAATATTAAAATGGATCTTAGAGAAATAGAGTGGCGTGGTGTGGAATGGATTAGTCTGGCTCAGGATAGGGACCAGTGGAGGGCTCTTGTGAACACAGTAGTGAACCTTTGGGTACCATAAAATATTGGATAATTCTTGAGTAGCTGACCGACTGGTGGCGTCTCAAGAAGGACTTGGGGCCATGTAGTTAATTAATTAGTCCATCATCTGAGCTTATTAAAATCATTATATTTTGGAATTGGTTCTGTTTTCATTTACAATTGAATAAGAAATGAGAGAAGACTTACTGTGTTGGTTCCTTCTCATATTCTATTCAGCAGCCATACCTGGATGGATGGCCTCCCAACTAAAAGTTCTAGATTTCAGAATGAATAAGCTCTTAAGATTCCTGACAAAGGGCCATGTTGGCTACACCATATCTCATGCAATCAGTCACTGGCTTTCCACTGTGGTGGCCTGGGTTCGAGCCCAGGTCTGGTCATATGGGATTTGTGGTGGACAAAGTTGCATTGGAGCAGGTTTTCTCCGAGTACTTCAGTTTTCCCTGCCAATCTTCATTTCGCCAACTGCTCCACAGTCACCATCATGCATCATCTGGGGCTGGTACAATAGGCCAGTAGTGGCCGTAGTACCAAGTGGACTCAGTCTCACCCACCTAAGAATAATAAAAGGACCTTATTCTGACATCAACCAGGAAAATAAACAAGCCCAGTGAAGAACTGCTGTGCCAGTGAGTCAGGATATAATTTTAGTGGACCATTCCACAAGTGATGGTTCACAGATATAAAGATTGCGGTGAGATGAGGAAGATCTTGGAAATGTCAGCAGTGAATATGAGACAGACAATGGGAACTGTGAAGTCTGAAGTGGAGACAGACAATAGGAATGGTGAATAGAGTGAAGCTGAATAAAGGCTTGTGACTTCAAGAAAGAAAGTACCTCAGTAAATGAAATGTGTAACACATTTTCAAGTGTTTATAAATTACTTGTTCTGTGCAGGTATGATTCATAGTATGGGATTATCTTACATTGTGAGTCATATTCCAAACAAAAAAAAATCTGTGGCTTTAGTCCGCAAGCGAATTATGCCGACCGAGCAACCACTGCTTGTTGGTGAAGTTAGTAGCAACTTTAGTGGATAGAGGGTGTCACATGGTCAACACAACAAATCCCCGCGGCCATTAATTTCGGTTTTTTAATCATCTTCCATTGGGGTAAATATGGCATTGTCCATCTAAAACATTCTTGAAGGTTGACAGTAAGGAGTCTCGTGGAAGAAAAGTTCTCTGTTCACCATCACCTTTTATATGGCAGTTGAGCTTCATATCATATGTCATAAAGAGAATGTCAGACTTTATAATGAAGGTATGAAAATGTACATCACCATTTGATGATAATACATCCTCAAAGATGTTTTAAACAAAGCATAGGACACTTGCACTGTGAAAAGTGACTAGTGTTATAATTGAGATTACAGCAAAAATAATCTGTCTAGTAGAGAAAATTCTCATTCTCATCTCATTTCTCATAATTTTTCAGATTTCTTATGTCAGACTGAAAAAGGCATGCTTGCACATCTGTAGGATGTTTTAATTTTGGTTATATCTTCAGTTAATGGTCCTAACCATCCCACTTCATGGTCCTTTGTGATAGAATCTGGAGGTTCATCACCATCATCACAAAATCCTCCAGTTGTATCTTATCTTGAGCCAATACATCTCAATTCACATCTCAAATTTAAATGTTGTCCACCCATGTATGCCTGTGTATCTCATTTGATTTCAATCCATGCAATTTTTAAGACCTAAATTCTGTATGCATATCTTGTCTTCTCTAGGCATGTTTCATTCTCTGCCCAAATGAATCATCTTAATTAAACACACAGTATTAATTGTGAAACCTTTAACTGTATAAATTGCTTCTTTCTCTGTTCCAGTTAATGATATATATTTTGGAAGGACTTTATGCAACAAATAAAACAGCTGATTTCTGCATAATTACTAAAACCCTACATTCTGTGCAGATTTACTTTTGCAGCCGTACTCATTCTCAGCTTGCACAGTTTGTGGGTGAGGTGCAGCGTAGCCCATATGCAGAGAACATTCGCCTTGTCTCACTAGCCTCCAGGCAGAACTACTGCATCAACAAGGCTGTGCAGAAGCTCAAGAGTCTCTCACTCATAAATGAACAGTAAGCTGTTACTGCCTTTTAAAACTGTATCATGTTGCATAATTTGTCTTTAAACTGGCCATAACATTTCCATGTGTTTGTCCGTGTTCATTTATTACACTGTATTTACAGAACAGTTTGTTATATGAAACAGTGTAGACCACCATCAGGGGTTCTGAACACAGACTGTGACCTCTGTAGTCTTGTTAGGCTGGTAGGCAAGAGTGATGAATAGATTACTTTCCCAGGAAGTAATTCATGTCACGAACATCTCATTTGTTGACAGATGAGCTTAGCTGATAGGCTTGCTCATACTGAACAAGGAATGCATTATAAGAGCATTCAACTATACAAATTACACTATGGGTTTTGTTTAAACACACTTAATTAGCCTAATTACTTTATTGGTATACAAAAATTATTGAACATGACGTGTGATTTCATAATGCAAGAGCAAATCTGAATTCAAAATTATATGTGTATGAATTTGAAATTTTATCTCAATATGTTAAATTATTTCACTGTAACTTCAGATTACCAATCGTGTGCAAAGTGAATTTAGTGCAATTTAAATATCACACCACACTAAGATGACATTGGATTTAAATGCAGATGTGAGGGATCTAATAGGTTTCCTGTTGTGAAAATAAATTAAGGTTCTATACCATTATGAAAGTGTGCCGTTGGAGCCTATCCTTGCCTGTTTGGGTTAGACAGGTAAATTGTATTTCCTACATTCATAGATGTACTGATATGCAGCGTAAGAAGAAAGGTCGTACTACAGCAGTGGATAGCTCAGGAAAGGCTGTAAAGAAATCTCGTGGCTCTTCTGGTTGTCCCTACCTTCAGCAGAAGGCAGTGGAGAGGCTTCAAGAAGAGGCACTGCTTGAGGTGCAAGATGTGGAACAGCTGGTGACCATAGGACGGAAGCTGTCAGCATGTCCATACTATGGCTCTCGCGCAGCTGTAAGAGATGCACAGGTTTGTATATGTATCTGCTCCTCACTGTTTGTTGTTAAAAGTCAAGATCTCTCTTCCTGGAAAATGTCAGAGAATATCATTGCATTCAGGTGACAGGTATATCGGTTTGCATTGTCCCTTTGCAGTACTTGTTCCATGCCCTAATGCTTTGTGGTATTGTATTATTTAGCTGCATAATTTATGCACTTCTTTGACCAAAAATTCATGACTGAATGTTATGTATGAATTACCTATGCAAATAGGTTTTGAGGGTATAATTTTACATTTTACGAGGATCATTAAACAAGTAGTGGCAACACGGTACAAAATAAGCCATTTTTTTATAGTGCATAGATCTGATTATAGATCTTCAGTATGCCCCTCGCATGTTGCCAGAGCTCTGGCAGATATCATAATTTGTTGGCAATGAGCACTCAATTGAGCTGTCTTGTGGATAACATTGCGGCATGTTTACTCTCTCTTTGTGGCTCAAATCTTTGTCCTTCTTTGGAAAGAGATCAGAATTACATGGACTTATGTATGGCGAGTACAGAGGCTAATCCATTACCTCCCAGTTACAACACTGCTGCAGGTCTTGCATGATCCATGCTGTGTGATGTCTGACATTGCCATGTAGCAAGACTGGCCTGAGAGCAAGTAACCCAGGGCTGGCCATCTGAACACTAGAGTGAGGAAGAGGATAAATGGAGGAAATTGAAAACTGATTAAATTGAGGAACATTAAATGGGTGTTCCACTGTATATCATATGACTGTAGCACAGGTTCAAGCACTAAGTATTGCTGTATTCATACAGGTAGTAGTGGTCCCTTATAACACTCTTCTCCATAAGAACACCCGCAAGGCATGTGGCATTAACGTGACAGGCAGTGTTATCATTATTGATGAGGCCCACAACTTGCTGGAAACCATCAGTCACATCCACAGCTCTGAGGTGACAGGACATCAGGTATGATTTGCTGTGCTTATGTTCTGAGTATGCTGTACCAGAAGATGGCAGAATTTGACTTAATTTGGATAGGTACATGTGAACATAGACGTTTTTGAACATGAATGAAATTGGAACTTCACTATAATATATTTTTGAACTTCACACTGAACTTTGAACTTTCTGCTCATTTTCAGTGTATGAAATATTCAGTCAGAAATGAATACTATACAGCATTTCAAACAACTCTGGCAAGGATGACATTGGTAGCATGTATGGCTTGTTGAGTACTAAGAATGGAGTATCCATGTGATTAGATACTGTTGCCAAGTATTAAAAGTGGGTTCTTGAGATATTATTCCCACTTAGTGCTGTAAATGTCATTACATAAGTGGCGTACTGTTCATCATATACAAGTACACACAAAATCCTACGTTCCTATATCATTCTGCATTTACATATTTTTGTTCAAAACAAACCTTTCAGCATTGTTGAAAAGTAAGTTTTCTCATCTTGAAGTTGTTATATTCCCTTCAGTGGAAAACAACCTTTCATTCGCTGTTTGTAGTGAAGAAAAAGACACCTGGTTGAAAACAGCTATGGCTAAGGAGTGGTGTTTTTACTGGTTTTCCAACCAGCACATTATAACATCCTTTGAAATGCTGATTTACCCAGATATGGATTTAGTTGATATGTGAGAATTTGAAATGTTGAAGCTCTTCAGGATAGTTCTTCTTTGGAGACTTCTTGAAGACTTCCTGCAGTGATAAATTTGTGCTTAGTAAAAGAGCAGCCTCTGTCTGAAAATTATCTTGTAGATTTTAGGTTTATGTGGCTGATAATCAGAATGCCCGATAACTTTTACTGAAAGTCACATATGAGATTTTAAAGGTTCTGCCCAGCAGTTGGGGGGTGATACTCGGTTAGATGCAGATATAAACTTTGACCAATTTGTGCAGGTAAATCCAACATAAAATTGTATCAAAATTTACTCAGCCATTCTTGAGTTATGAGATAGCACAACAACAAAATCATTTTCATAAAGTGATACAACAAGCAAACCTTTTCTTTCGTTTTCCTAAAATTCATAAGACTCATGGAGAAAGAGTCTTTACCATAAAATGCATATCTTATTTTTCTTTACAACTATTGTTTGACAGTTTTTTTGCTCTGATAAATATTTATAGTTATATTCAAGGCACAGGCATAAATGCACATAGGTCTTCACATAAAATGTCTGTTATTATTGCTTGATATTAACCAAAAGTGGAATTTTGTGACAATTCTTATGAATGTCTTCCTAATTAAAAAGAAAATCTCTTCAGCAGTTTAGGCATTGGCACTAAGTCACAGACAGGCCTTCCACATAGGACAGTCTTTTCTGCTTTGTAAAGAACACCTGAAAACAATGTGCTTCTTAATGGAAAACGGTGTGTGTAATATGATCTTGCAGCTTCACAGAGAGAATTTTTTTCTGATCATAGATTTAATGTTTTTGATCAAAATTAGAACTTCAGACTTGCACTGAACCAAATTTGTTTGCAGACAGTTCACATTTTGAACTGTTTGCACTTACCTCAATTTTGAACAGTGTTTACACTTATTGTGTGCACTTGCCGATTCTTCTGTTACTGCCTGTCTCCAAATCTAGTGATTAGATTAAACATATTAATGTTAGATAGTGATAGTGAAACATGTTAATGGGTAGCGTAGTACTGTATCTTTGTATTTTGTAACACCCTGCCATCAGCATATGGGCCAAGTAGCCATATATATGTGTGCATGCTGGATGTTGGACAGTAAATAGTGATGTTTATTCTTTCAGCTTACACATGCCTACAGCCAGCTGAGCCAGTATCAGGATCGCTATAGAAACAGATTCAGTGCTGCCAATCTGCTTCACCTTGGCCAGGTCATCTTCGTTGTTGGCAGACTTATTCGTATGTTAGGTGTGTACTTTCATCAGGCAGGGAAATCAGACTAATTTTAAGTTAACAACTTATTTGAGACCAGAGTTAACTTCAGCCAGCTGTGCTTAGATAATACCTCACAATTAGCCACAACTGTCTCTTATCATATCCTTATAATCTTCCTTAAAATTTCCTTACACTCTCATGAACCCAATGTTGGGTCTGAGATAAAACCCCCTGACCAAGGATGTGATAATGTGATGTGTGGTCAAGGCTATGAGTATGAAGCCATGGTGAAATGATGATTAGCTGGGGAAAACTGAAGAAACTCAGAGTAAAACCTGCTTCAGTACCACTTTGTTCACCATGAATCTTATGTGAAGTCATCCAGGATTGAACTTCAGGCTCTGGAATGAGAAGCCAGCATCTAACCTGCCTTAATGTATTCATAATCATCCTGTTGTATCATATTCAGCACTAAGATAGTTTCAGTAACTGATATACGAGGATAAGTCAATAAGTAAGTTACAAATGGATATAGAACTCAAACAAATAAGAGTACTGGTTTGAAAAATGCTTTTATTTCTCAACATAATCTCCCTGTACATTGAAGCACTTGTCCCATCATTTCACAAGCCCCTGAAAACCAGCAGCATAAAATTCTTTGGGCTGCTGTCGGAACCAGGCGGTGACTTCCCTTTCTATGGCTTCATTGTTTAGAAAATGTTCAGCCAAAAGATGGTGTTTAAGAGGGCCGAACAAATGGAAGTTGCTTGGAGCAAGGTCAAGGCTATATGGGGGATGCTTGAGGACTTCCCACTTGAAATTTTGCGGCATCTCATTTGTCTTGTTTGCAGTATGGGGATGCGTGTTGTCATGCAAGAGCAACACGCCTTTGGTGAGGAGTTCTGATTGCTTCCGTTGAATGGCCTTACAAATTTTCCTGACAATGTTATAGTAGGAGTCGGCATTTATGTAAATTCCTACTCCTACTGTAACATCCTCAGGATGTAAATGTTCCCTGTAAGGGGAAGTCACCGCCTGGTTCCGACAGCAGCCTAAAGAATTTTATGCTGCTGGTTTGCAGGGGCTTGTGAAATGATGGGACAAGTGCCTCAATGTATAGGGAGATTATGTTGAGAAATAAAAGCATTTTTTGAATCAGTACTCATATTTGTTTAGGTTCTATATCCATTTGTAACTTACTTATTGACTTACCTACATATAATCATGAAATAATGAGCCTCTCCAATTGAGTCAAGCATCCTTCTGAAAGAACTGTATTTCATATAGGACTGTTACATTAAATTTCACACTGCAATGAAATCTTACTGAGCACATAACTATTAGTATGGAGTAATATCCAACATTTTGCAGATGGTCCTCTTCCTCTATTATCAAAACCTGGTAAGTTTGAACACAGACACATGCACATACATGTGTACAGACTGGGCACCAGGAGGGCAGTGTATATAGTCAGACTTCACCCGTCTCACCACAGACAGGCTAGCAGCAGATTACCTGAGATGACTCCATTGCATTTAGTTGTTGTGAAAACTTGACATTTTGTATTGTGAGACATGTTTTGTTTTGTGTTTCTTAAGTCATTTAGTTGTACTGAATCACAAGTAGGCATATATTGTGACGTGTATAATCATTGATAAGCAGTGGGTCAGTAAACACATTCCTGTAGGGAATCACTCATGGCCTCTCTGGGCTGTTACGATAAATCACATGGAATGTTGTTTGTTTTGTTGCCAGGTGGGAAGCCAGGATGCAGTCCTGTTGAGAGCAGCATTAAGGTTGTGGACACAAAGATGTATACATTGGCTGAGTTTGTGCTGTCAGCAGAAATAGACAACATCAACCTATACAAGCTGCTAGAATTCTGTCAGAGAAGCAAGATTGCTCACAAGGTGTGAGGCAGTGCAGAAGTGACAGAGATGACCTTTTTGTTAGTGCCCTTGTATTTTCCTGGAGAGACTCAGGAAACTGCTGAAAAGCTTTAGGCAGAATGGCCAAGATTAAAATTGTGTCCCTTCACATGAACATGTAATGTGTTACTGCTGCACCAGCCTGCTCAAAGTAACATGTAATATAAACCAAATTAAGGTGTAGAACTCTTTTTGTTCCCAACTATATATATGTTTATTAGCTGATTTTAGGCTTTCACAGTTGTTAACTGTTGATGTTAATTCAGTTCTTAGGTGGTTACATCCCGTGTGTTTGGGTGATGTTGCCAGTGTTTTGGAGGTACATGGTTCCTCCATCTTCAGGGTTGAAGCATGTAGGGTGGGTGAGTTTGTTTGCATATAGAGGGTTACATGATGTGGCTATTAAATAACAAGACTGATCTCAGAAAATATTTAATTGAATATTAAAATAGTATACAAGTATCTCTTTCATAATGATTCCCTTGGGCATCTACACAGTGCTGCAGTCTTTCCTGTCAAACCTGGAAGCATCTATGAAAATCGTTTTATGAAAGCCCTTTCAACAGCTTCGTTTTGTATGTCCTTTGTGAAATGAAAATATTGTCACGTGCATGAGTGACTCTTGATGGAGTTTTGCCTTGGATATTTGTATTTATTGACCACTTGAACATATGACTAGTAATTACATTTAATTGTAGCACTGTCACTAATTTACACACTACAAATCACTACAGCACATACTGAGTGTTCCCAGTTTGTTGTATCTTCACTCCTTCTTACTAGGTAACAGCTTCTAACACCAGATATTGCTCTGCTTCTGTGCTTAAGTCCTCTTTGAATGTCTGCTCCCTTCCAACTGCCTAAGTCATCAGTTAATTTCCTTATAACCTCTCGGCATGGCCCATCATAGAAAATCCCATTCCCAACAGTTCCTCCAATTTTGCATGAGAACTGTTGCCATGGAAAACTGTTTGTGTCAGAACATCTGGTTCTTCGATTTTTTCAAAATGCAAAACAATTTTTTTTTCCAGTTTCTGTTCATCATTCAAATTCTTCAGCACCTTCTTGGTTATACTTTGATTTGGCATGGGATTTGTGAGGAGTATGTTTGTGACATCCTCTCTGCTGCTTGACCATATCAATGAGTTCCTTCCAGGCAAGATTTACACTTTCTGTATTAAAGTTCTTGTGTAGGTTGATTTCTGTGGATTCCTGAATAACACTCCTGGTATAGCAGGAAGAACAGCTTGACTAATTCCTTGATGTTTTCTAAGTGTTGTAATAATAAAGTGTAAAAATGAACATCAGTCAATACAGTGAATAATGACAAATTACAAAGGACACATTTAGGAAATATGTATACTGCAATTTCAGCCAAACCTTTTGTTCCATTTGAAAAGAACCTCTTAATAATACCATCATCATGAGCGCAGTTAGTCACTGGCTTCCCACCACGGCAGCCTGGATTCGAGCCCAGGTCTGGTCATGTGGGATTTGTGGTGGACAAAGTTATGCTGCGGCAGGTTTTTCTGAGTACTTTGGTTTCTCCTGCCAATCTTCATTTCATAAATTACTCCACAATCACCATCATATATCATCTGGAGCTGGTACAATAGGCCAGTAGTGGGCTTAGTCTCACTTAGTCTCACCCCGCTAAGAAGAAGAATTGTCATGAGCATTGTAGGTTTAAGTTGTTAAGACCAGTTCTTGGTCTCTCCAGTATCATTTTGGTCATCCTAAAACTTATCCTCCTCTTGGCTGGTAATAGGTTAGTTGTCCAGGGAATACTTTTACTCTGTAGACCAGGTTGACAGTTCTGCACTTCAGAGCAACCAGTGTGCTGTTTGCCAAGAGGCACATGCGAATTTAATCGATGAATCAGCTTGCCTGATGGCCAATAACGTTTGGAATGAAGTAGTAACAATTCACACATCACAGGAGGTGTTGAAAATGCTGTCCTGTGTGCATGTAGAATATTTTTTGCAATTAATTGTTCATTAAAAAACACAGGTACAAGAATCCTTCTTGCACTTACAGCAGTAACAGTATCCTTGTTACCCTTTGATGTATTTATAACTTTCAGTCTTTCTGAAATTTTAGAATTATTTGGTGATTTAATCTAGTGAAGCCAAGTAGTAAAAGAAAAAGTAAAAGTAAAGCTATCCCTGTAACAGGCCGTGAAGGAGTTGAGGGTCCCACATTATCTAGACAATTGGCTTAAAGATTGTTGTAAGGTTGTCAGCCTTACACGCCAGGTGCGCTTTACTCCCCAGAAAAATTTATTTAACTAATTCCTGGTACACATTTCTGTTAGAGGCTGAGTCGACCCCAGGGCCATAGTGCGGCTGGAAGGATTAGGTAAATTGAAAAAACCCCAATGACCTCATCCGGACTTGAACCCGCGACCTTCCGGCTTCTAGCATAGTGCCTCAACCAACTACGCTACCGCATGCCCCTGTGAAGCCCAGTAGTAGTATCAAAAAGACATTTGTGCTGCTCCTAATTTTTGGAAATCCTTTCGTTTGAAATCCATATTTCACTACCATAATCTCTCAATAATAAAGATGAGAAAATGCTAGAACTTTGTGGAATATTATTTGTAGATGCAGTAACCCCTACTTAATGAACAGAGAATGGCCCAGAACACATAAATTCTGCCAATAACTTTCACTGTACTATATGCTTTTACATCTCATGACGTTGAAATTCCCTGTCTGCAGCTGCATGGGTTTGCTGAACGTTACCATCCAGCTGTTGTACTGAACCGTACTGTCAAATCATCAGCACAACAACAGATGGGCATTCGGGCATTCCTCAAAGAAATCTCTGTGGACAATATCTCTACACCCAAGCAAGGTTAGTACAATGGCAGTTGATGGAAATTAACAGTTTTCTGGAACTCTGCTAACAAAGTCTGTGTGTCTGTCCATCTTGAGATTAAGTTATGGACATCAGTATCATGCATATTAATTTAATATATCATGGAATTTAGTATGAACAGCATACCATTGCAGACTTCCTCTTCTTGGTACTTTTCATCAGTAATACCAATATGATGGTTATGCAAACTTATGTGGTGGGAACACCACCATTGAATGTTCAATGCTGTTCCTATGGTAAATGTTTGAAATTATGCAAACATGGGCATTCTTAATTGATTTATTGCTTGTTTAATTACTGCCTCTAGGTTATGTTGAATGAAGTACATGAAAGTGGTCATGGAAGGTGAGTCAGGAGGTGTTTGAAGAGGAAGCAGTCATGGTTTTTTATTTGAAAGCGCTGTTCTGATGTTTGCTTGGAGGGACCAAAAAAACTCTCAGAAAATTTCAGTCGGGATAGTTTGTAACTTGAACAACTTTTGAACCAATTATAACTGATGCAGAATATAATGGCATTTGTATTCAATTTTATGTTCTCAGTTTCTCCTGTACAGTTATTGCAATGTATGAAATTCATTCACTTCAGTTCCCTTTAAGGCCCACTTTTGTGCATACATTCCTAAGTATTCAAACAATAGAGATTATAGTGGTCTGCAAAATTCATTTGATATGTGTTGTAAAATATTTGTTTGAAGTTTGGTGATTTGAGAAAATCTCTAGGTTGCTTACTGTTTGTCCCATCAAGAGCATTATCCAGCCTCTTGCTATCACCCTGCCTGATGCCTGCTCAATTTATAGTGCATCACATACCTAAGCAGTAGACAGTCATATGTAAATGAAATATGAATGGTTTTGACCTTACCACATGTTTCTTTCAGTCATAATAGGTTGACTAAAAGTCTGATATCTTGAGAGTGGTAGGTATTATGACCAGACTGGGTTAACACAGATGACTGTCTTGGCAGAATCCATACCAGCATCATCTGTTTCTGAACCAATCCTGAGCAACCCCTTGCTGCCAGTGCTAGGCTTCATGGAGGCTCTCACAAACCACTGCAGTGATGGTCGTGTGGTGTGCAACAGACAGACAACAGTAGGACGTGGTAGCCTCAAGTTTCTCCTGTTGAATCCAGCTGCTCACTTCTCCAGTATTATTAAGGAGGCAAGGTAATTTTGGTTTCTAACAGCTGTGTCTGGGAGCCAAAGTATCTCAGTCAATATGGTGAATGAGGGGTAGATATTTTTCTCTTTTCTATCATGTCCAGGCTTTCCTGGACTCATCCAGCCTCTTGTCCAGTGGGTACCAGCACCCTGCAATTACAGCAGCTATGGTTTGAAGCTGACCACTCACCTACATTTAATTCCGAAGGTTAAGAAAGAATGCAGCTATATCTCCATTCCCCTATACACCTTCATGGTGTGTCATTTGGTTAAGTGCTCAGGAAACTACATTTCAACGTCTACAAAAATTTCTCTGTATTGCATGTGACATCTATTGGCATTTCATCTTAATCATATGTATGTACAAGGTGGTTCAAATATGACTGGGACTGATTTTCTTTTTAAAAACCATAATTGCTAAACACTTACTTGCACATGTCAGTCTTCAACGTACTCCCCTCCAGAGTCAACACATTTTTTCCAGCTTTCTGAAACCATCCTGCTGCCCTTTTCAAAAAAGGCTTGAGGTCTGGATGATGGCATCGTCCACAAACCGCATGCCTTGCAAGTCTGATTTGAGCCTTCCGAACAGGTAGAAATCACTTGGGGCCAAATAAGGACTATATGGCAGATGTGTCAGAAGGTTCCATTTCAATTTTGAGGGTTTCCATTGTTGTTTTGGCCGTATGGGGGTGTGCATTGTCTTGAAGGAAGGCTACCTGCTTTCCACCTCTCTTCCACTTGGATCAGAACTTTTCCTTCACGTCTGTTGCCAGGAGGTTTGAGTAATAAGCTGCATTGACTGTTCTGGCATCTGTCAGAAAGTCTACATAGATAACCCCCTGCCAGTCCCAGAAGAGCGTTGCCATCACTTTTCCTGCCGAACGGCTCCTCCACGCTCTCTTGGGTTTGGGAGAACTGGTATGTCGCCACTCGCGTGATGACTGCTGGGACTCGGGAATGAAGTAGTGCACCCACGTTTCATCGGTGGTCACTATAGACTTCAAAAATGCATCACCTTCATCTTCAAACTGCTGTAGGAGACAACTGGCAGCTTTCATGCACACCATTTTGTTCACTTCTGTTAAAGTGCATGGTACCCACCTTGCATTCACCTTGCGATAGTGCAGGTGGTATTTCATGATGTCTTCTACACTACCAACACTGATGGACAGTATTGCTCCAAGTTTCTTGATAGTGATGTGCCTAGTTTCACGAATAAGCACGTCTGCACGATCAATTTTTGGCTCGGCGACAGATGTCTGTGGCCGACAATCATGCGATTCATTCTCCACGCACTCTCTGCCCTCTCTGAAGCACTTACACCACTCAAACACACGGGTCCATGAGAGACACTCTTCCCCATACTGTTGTTGGAGTCTGTGGTGAATTTCAGTGGACGAGACGTTTTCTCCAACGAGGAATTTGATCACAATTCATTGTTCCATGCTCCATGGTACCTTCTGTTTGCTCATCACTCTAGCAACTCCCAGACAGGACTGAACAGGAGGGAGGGTGGAGGTTGTGGCTTCACTCTCTCAAGGTCACACAGCTGCTGCATAGTGTGGCTTGTTTACACACAAATCAGTCCCAGTCATATTTGAACCACCTTTTATGTTTGTACGTAAAAGCGGTGGGCCATAATATCCCGACCTTCAATGATCTATTATGCTTCCCCTTTGATTAACCCGTTATTAATCCTACACTTTGAATGAAATGTAGGACTTTACAGAACTATAAGGTTTATTTTGGACTCTAGCCATTGTCTGGTATATATAAGACAAAAACCACAATGANCCTCTTCAATGAAGAGGTTAACAAATCAAAATGTTGTTTCCTACAGACCAGGGTTTGTCCAGTGATTGAGACTACCTCTTTCTAATGGGCCCAACTGAGTAGGTCTATCTTGCCCCATCCACCTGAGGACGGAGACAGGACCAGTCTCCGAAATGTTGTGGTTTTTTGTCTTATATATACCAGACAATGGATAGAGTCCAAAATAAACCTTATAGTTCTGTACAGCATACACCATCGTCAGAATCCTTTAAAGTCTATACAGGACTTCATTTATGGGGGCATCATAATAGTCACTCAGTTCCATAAAGAACTGGCCCAGGTGACAAAATCTTAAATAAGCTGTGGCCTCATAATCACATAAGATAAGCTTAACCACATAATCAGAGAGCATTTGAAAGTAATTTTTCTCTTACATTTGAATATGTTATGGAGTATTTATTTATGTTTGTCCATGAAAAAGAAAAAGCATCTGCAAAAACCTAAAATGTTGTTATTGTTGTTGTTGTTATTGGAGAGGGTGGGTCTCCCCATGCACTTAGATCAGATATTGGTCCATTGTGTGTCCCCCTGTGATATTCTACCAGTCTCTATACCCTACCGGTATTGGTGTGTACCATCAGTCCTGACTCAGCCAGCGAGTTTGGCCTCTACTGGCTCAGCCATATCTCAATGCTTCCCCCATCTACCAGAGGCGTTGGGTGGGAAGTGTCCTGAATTTGGCTCAGAGGTCCCCTTGAGACATGAGGTTCTTTTACGTGCCGTAAAGCCATGACACGGGACCCACGGCTTAAAGTCCCTCCCGGAGAACTTGTTCCCTGAATTTTTCCGCCCTTAAAAATTCCACGACCTCCGCCGGCTTTGAACCCGCATACCTTGAGTCGCTAGGTTGGAACGTTACCCCGAGACTATGGAGGCCACTAACCTAAAATGTCACTGCAGTTATTAAAGCAAGGATTATTAGCTGTATCCAAATAACTGAACTTCATGATATGAGCTGCACCATCAACATTTGGTATTCAGCTCTGATCCCATATGCTGCAAACCCTGAAGGTTCCACAGCACCATTATCACAAAAACAAAGGCTCTGCAGTCACGTCACATTGTTCCAACATTTTTGCTCTTAATATCCATCCTTATACAGGGAACTCTTTACTATCGACGGTAATGAGGGCAACAGGTAGCATGGCAAATTAACAACTGAATAATCAAAATATCGCATTTATTATCATATAAGAAAAAATCTCTTTTTCATGCTTGGGTATCTGAAAAAAAAGGGTCATCTGACATTTACATACAGTAAAACTTGGTTATAGCAACATCGGTTTCTGCGACACCTTGTCTATTGCGTCAAATTTTCAATGGCACGAACTAATTCCTCATAAAGCAACTGTTTTTATACCTTGCTTAGTACGACATGCACAAATGCATCAACCTCGTATGTAACGTCATTTTCATTCCTGAATTTCTCTGATATTGTGGGAAAGTTCGATGTG